TTTTTATATTACTAACCCTTTTTAATCTTATTAAGGCTTAAATTGTGCATAATAAAGGGCATGGTCGCTTTGAGTGAAAGGTGGGTCCAGTCCATTCACAAGTCACTACTACAGTGACAATGTTGGTTATGTAACATAATAACTATGGCCTAATTTAGGTTCACAGAGTAGCCATAGCTGTAGCTCACTTCGTGAAGTTTAATTGTAACATTTTGGTCACCTATTAAAATCTTTTTATGGTTGCCTGTTTTGCACTAGTGCAATTTAGCATTAGCATTGTCAAAGTTAATCAAGTAAGTCTACTGCAAATGCACCAAGCTAACCAAGCTAGCAGCTAGCATTCGGGTTAGCTCCACCCTCTCATGTAAATATAGTCACTTCTCATCACTTCTGGCTCCGAAAATCCAAGATGGCCATGGCCAAAATGCCAAACTCAAGGCAAAAACCAATGGGTGACGTCACAGTGGCTACGTCCATTATTTTATACAGTCTATGATTATTACCCAACAAGGTGGCTCCATGCTATATATGGGTTCTGTGCAAATACCTATTTTTAACACCTTTTACCCCACTGTAAAAGTTGCACAATGTTTTTAAAATGAAGTTGTGCTTCACTGGAGTCAGGAGCTGTGGTCTCTGCATCTCCGGGCATAATGAAAGAGGTGGTGGGTGAGGGGTTTAACAGGGGACAAACAGGAGACGCTCATAAATATTAAGGCTGTAGTTTCTGATATTTTTTTGTGTGTGATGTTGCATTAAATTGGAAGGTGATTCAAGGATGTTCTTTCCCACTTTATGTGTAAATAAATGGACAACGTAGGCTACAGCAAACCTGATAATAAATGCATATCAACACAATGTATACCTGATGCATTTTCTGTACAAGATAAACATGTTGCAGAACTATTAGATAAAACGTATAATCTAACACAATTAGATCCTAAATACAATGCAAACCATACGTAACAGAAAACATAAGGTTCATAAGCCTTGCATCATTGGTCGCATAGATTCCTAAATATTTTGGCATCTGCGTGTGTGTCTCACTGTGACCATAAATGACTTTCTCCCAAACTGGAAGCAAAGCATGATGGGAAAGTTTGGGGGGCAATATTAGGATTGTTCTAGGCAGGATAATGTCAGATAGACCCCCAGGCTTATTGCATAAACATACACACACACACACACACACACACACACACACACACACGGGCATGATTACACAAAGGGACCATCATTCTCTCCCTAAATCTGTTTTCCCCCACCCATCCCCCATTCTATCCCCCTCTTTCTCTGTCGTTCCCTCCGGATCACAGCCGACTTTACGGCGTCTGTGTTTGCTGACACATCAGTAGCGGTGGCAGAAGGATAAGTGTGCATGTAAGAGAAATGAGAAGGCACAAAGAGAGCGAGAGAGGGTGATCAGCAATAATAGAGAGCAGTGCGACAGACTGGTAAAAGAGCGAGAAGGTGTAAAAGATGGAAATGAGCAGAAAGACACATAGAGAAAGAGAAGATAATCGAGCCTCACATGAAGGCCAGAGACACACACATCTCTGTTTTTGCCTCAGGGACTAACCGTCTTTATTACATTAACCAACACAATATCAGTCTGTGCCTTTCTGTTCTGCTCTCTCCGTTTTCTGCTCAGATCCAAACCTTTCCCTTTGCGGAAAATGAATTCAATGGTTTGACGTCATGAACAAAATTTAATCCAAAGCACATTCAGGGTACAGCACATCTGATGACGAGCTTTCCCTGGAATTCACAGGAACTTGACATGTATTGAATCATCCCTACATGACATGAAACGAGATGAACTAATGTACAAATGAGGCTGCATCTCCCATCAGTCCGGCTGTCCATCCATCACTATCCATATTACCTGAAAGAGTAATAATACCAAAGACCATTTGTCTTAGCTGAGGCAAGGTGTGGTCACAAGTGTACCTTGTTGCCCCTTGTAACCACACCTAAGTGATGTCACTGGGCTCTGGAGTACACCTGTGCATCACTCCAGCAAGGTGAGAAGTTAAACCAATGGAGGTCAGCAGAACCAAGCTTTTAAAGGGGTGTTAAGGTAGTCACTCGTGTTACACGTTCTCTCATGTACCAACCCCAGACAGGATCCTATTTCTTCATACTCTATGTCTTGTTACTTTATTTAGGTTTTCGGTCTAACTAAGGACTCCACCAACCATCCATAAGCCTTTTAAACTGCAGACATGTTGAGTTGTCATAGCAGGAAAAGCACAGGTGTAACTAATGACATTAACAACAACTCTGTTCCATTTAAGTGTCACAGTAAGGGCACGATAACACTTGAGCGAATGCAGGCGATTGATTATTGCCTGCTGATGCAATACTTGAATGTGGGCCTTGCCAGAAGTTATGTTCATAAAAAGCTAGTGTGCTGCTAACAAATGAATGTTAGCTAGCTTGCTAATAAATACTGCGAAATATGAAGTCATTGGCACATTTTCTACTTATATTCAGTCTGTCTCTTGACTTACTGCTAACCAGGTAGCATTGCTCTTGTGGGGTAGTTTATATTTTTCACGGCCAACATCATCAGTGTTTCCTCAAACAGTGGTTTGTATGATATCATGCCCCATGACTGATGTTGCATACTTAATGTAACGCTATGTAGGTTAGGTTTAGGCTAGGAAACATGGTGACAACGTACTTTAAAATAACTCAAAGTTCACTTGGTTTCAATCAGCAGTCTCCTGGAGTAAAGTCCTGTGTTGTTTGACACATCCATCACCCCTACCTGCCTCTTTACAGAGACTTTGTATCTTCATACTACTTCCTTTATAACTCCTGTCAGAGCATTTGTCATGTGATCAAAGCTTTCCTGATTACATGTGTCATACAGGAATTAGTCGCTCATGATTATGCAGGTTATACGCATTATGGCACTTTCTTTTTTGTAGATAAATGTAAAGTGTATGAGAACAGCCTGATATCATAGCATACTGGCTGGTTAGACATGGCAACAATCAATGTTTTCTCTACCTTGATCCACTGGAAAATGACAGCCAGTGGCGGTCAAGTGGTGTCAACCACACATCCTTCTTTGATATAGAGGCTGTGACTTTGCTGGGTTAAAGTCCACCAAAGCTGAACTTAAGATGCGGATTTGCTTTGCCACTGGAAGTGATTTTTTTTTTGCCCCTTGGCTCGCATTAAATGGAAATGAATATTAATTCTGTGCATGTGTGACTGTGCCCTAATCCTGAACCCAGTTGAGCAGATTTAGGTCCGAGTTGCCCCTCCCAACAACTGTGGGGGTGTTCCCGATTCAAAGTTGGTCTGAATTGGTTATCTGCCTAAATGAACCTGTAGTCTGCAGGGCTTTACAGATATAATCTTAATGTTAACGACTAGAGCCAGACTTTAATAACAACACCCTCAGGTGTTCTCAGGTGTTGCTCTCACGATCCCCTGCCTACAGAGAGCACAGATAGATAACACCCCAGCACACAAGACGACACCACAGGTCATCACATTGTCTAATGTCTCTCCGATGATGACAGTCTTCCTCCGTGTTTGTTCTTAAATCACATTTGATCATAGAAGTTTCTGTGAGACCCCAACTCTGTGGAATCACCAGTCTGAAATTGTTAAGCATTAACGGCAAGTGTGTGGTCCTGTGGGTCTTGACTGAGTTGTTTGGTGTGTTTTAACAATTCAAATATATATATTTTTAAATTGTCTCTGGTCTCACACGTTTTTAGATTATTTTAAGATTTGAAAATCCTCTAGTGCCTACCAGGCATTAGTCATGAGAAGGCAGCTTTAACAGTGTCAGGGCCCTGAAACTGAAACAGCTAAATAGAATTGAGCCGTAATTGATTTCCTTTTTTACAGCTGGGCTTTTTCTGCCTGGACATGTCAAAATGTCTTCTGTGAAAAAGACCTATTAGAATCTGCAGGATCTTCATAGCATATTGCTGGCAACCCCTGAACTACACATCATACATAGACTTTTTATATGATGGTTTTATTCTGCTTTGTTGGCTTTATGTAGCGCACTCTGTAACATTGGTTTTGAGAAGTGCTGCAGTGTACAAATGCACTGCATTATTACCAGAAACAAAAACCCCACTATCATAACCTTTAATATTTGTTTTCAGTCTCTCAGACATCCGAAAATATAGTTATGTGTTTGCACCTTTTAAACTTTACCTAGATTTTCTACAAATCTTCCTTCACTTACATTGTTTTGCTGTGATTTCTGATTATGTATAATGTCAGATGCCCTATTTGTAATCCTTTTCATGCTGTATTGATTCCTAAATGTGTGTCGGAGGTGGGGACAGGCTGAACAGCAGCACTTCATTGTTTTTAAAATCAATTAATATCCATTTGTCCACTGCAGCTCACCTGTTTGTCATGAAATACACACACACAGACAAGCACACACTTTTCTACAGGGGCTTTACTAACCTTTAAAACCAACCTGAATGTGTCCCTCTCTTGTGTTTGAAACCCATAATTGACAGTTTGATTAGGTCTTCTGCAGCCTTAGGCGGTAGCTTAAGGAAAGGGCCTAATGCATTAATGCCTTGTTTACGCCTCCAAAAGTGCTTGCTGCCCAATAAATCCACTTTGAATCAAATACCAAACAAGCCAGGTGAGAGCTATAGTGCATGGGATAGTTTTTGTCAGGAAATGTACAAGAAAATGTTTGATACATGCTCACCAGAGACAAAAAAAAGAGACAGAGATGGAGCGAGCAATAAAGTTTAGTTAGTCTAAAGCAGATTGTCGTTGATAATGTCCATGGTTGAATTTGGATCAATTAGGGGCTGGCAGATGTGCAGAATCATGGTTGACCCCAGGGCTTAAAGGATACAATCCAATTTTCCTCAACAAATGTAATACCATTAGGGTGGATAAAAACAGACAACTCACAAGGGAGGAGTCTCTTAAAAACCAGGGAGGGGGATGAGACAGAGAGAGACAGAGCAGTTGCTCAGAGGAAAGAGACAAAACCCACAAGGGCTTGGAAAACAGAGAAAACCTAAAGGCTGGAAAGTTAGTGAAACTCAAAAGAAAGTCAAACTTTTCAGGAAATGAGGGCCTGAGAGGATAGAAAACATGGGAAGAAAGGAATAAACAACCTCACCTGACCACTGCGGGGGAGATATTGAGTCCACTGTGGCCAGAAAGCAGAGCAGAGCTGACAAGGCAAACAAAACCAGTGAGTGCTGGAGTTTGAAGAGTTAGAGCTAATACAAACGCATTGATACAGCAGCGCTGGAGACAACTTCCTGGATTGAACTCCACATCAACTTTGACTGTGGAAGCCTGAGAGACGAAAAAGAGGTCAAAAGAAAGAAATCAGCCCTTAGAAATTTTGCTACAACATCAACACCAGGCTATGAGAATCTTCAACAGGAACCTTCGCCTTCAGGACGTCACCATCATGTACTTCACCGCCCTGGCTGCTCTAATGGTCATCTTGGTGGCTTCATATCAGGGGCCCACTAATGCCGTCGACGTGTCCAGCCTTAAATCAAACCCCTCCAGCCCTCTCCCACCTCTCCCCATGCCTTTCCGTGTGCCCCTTGACCCACGTGGGGACCTCCAGCTGGCCTGGAACATCAGCTACGCCAACCAGGAGGTGTACATGGAGCTGAGGGTCGCAAAGCTCAAACACGGCGTGGTCCTGGGGATGTCTGACCGCGGGGAGCTGACCAACGCTGACCTGGTGGTGCTGTGGGACTCTGGAACTAATAGCTACTTTGGGGTAAGTGTGTATCTGTTTAATGTGTCCCCCAAATTATTGAATTTAAAAGAATTTGGGGAGTTAAATCTTTAAAAAGTCAGACTGACACAAGGCTTGCCGCAAGGAAGGTGTGCAGTTTCTAAAAGCAGAGGGTGTAAAATGAAATTATTTCACCACCTTTCTATTTCTTTGTTCCTGTTTCCTCTCTGTGTTCACTTGTCAAATTTCATAAACGCACAGGGATTACATGAAAGTCCTTAAGGAATGGAGGTATCCCTCGTCTTGTCTGTGGTTCTCCAGGGCGTGAGATTGGTGTTTTTGCTGGAGAAGCGGGCGGACGGCTCACTTCACGATCAAATAGTCACAAAGGATGTTATCGGCCCCTGCTAATTGGAAATCACTCAAACTGCACTAATAGCTGGGGTTCTTCTGGGAATCATTAGCAGATATTAGCATATCAAAATTGAATCCTGCGCTGATTAAGATGTGCCAAATGCCTCATTTTCATTTTGCCACTAACAAATGCAAGATTTTTTTCCCCAAAAATTTCTTGAACTTAACTTATGCCACTTTGTTTAATGTTTAACCATAATTTACAAAGCTAAGATTACTTTTCCCCATCACTTGTTTTGGATAATGACATATTTATTTCTCATCCACCTGTCACTACAATAATGGATAATGCATTTCTTTTAAAGCTGATCGCTATCAGGACTACCTAAAAACGTTCTATTTAGCCCAGGGGCGGTGCCTTATATCCTGCGGCACAGACCGTGTTGTGTGCCTGATGCGCACTCTTGCCAACTCGCATTGGGTCGTCTTGTCACTTGTTGAATAGGCTAGTGAAACTGTAACGTAAAAAGTTGTTTATCAACATAATGTTTGCCTTAACCCCAAGATTAAACCCAAAAGAGACCTCATGCTTGATTATAACTTCAAACAGAGATGATTTATTTTTTCATATTTAATTTTTTTTTGCTGCTGGCAAGGCTACAAACACGACTAGACTTCCCTGCAGATTTTAAAATGACTTTAACCTGCCTGCTGATAAATTCTCAAATTGACCATCATAAGGTTATATTGGAAAATAAGTACAACTAAATACTACTAAAATATATTGACATCTGGATGGAATAAATGATGTCTAACAACAAAAATCTACTAAGATGGAGGGTTCCGTATTCTGATATCAATGCAGTATCTTGCGTCATGTATTAGTCAGTCTAATTTTCCAAGCTTAAGAATAAAACTAGTGCATACCATGACACTAAGACCAACTTTTCATTTTCATTAAATAGAAATAAGTCAGTATTTTGGTACTGCATTCTTGCTCGCCAAAGCATTGACTGCTACTTCCTGCAGGGCCTCTCCCATCCGGATGAAATACCAAATTATCAGGGAGTCCTATTGATATCCATGGGATAAAAATAGCCATTTTATTTATACAGAGAAGCAGCAGTCAACTCCATTTGTAAAGTTTTATTGACTTATTCAGCAGAGATAAAACATAAAAATGAAATCTCTGCTGTGAATCTCCACTGTAATTCGATCTGAGACAAGAGGGAGCATGCAGGACTCCAGAGGCCACTCTGTCTATTGGGTGGTACATAGCTCAGTGAGGATGGTGGCACATACTTGTGTTTCATAAATCCCTGAACAGTCTGTCCCAGGTACATGTGTTGCTACGACTGTTTTCTTGTTAAATCGTTCTCCTCTCCCCTTTCGACTGGCTTCCTCCCCTCGTTCCATCTCTGTCTCTTCCTTCAGGAGGGCAAAACTACCATCAGAAGAAAGGTCACTGCTGATCTATCTCTCTGTTTCCCGCACTCTCTGTGTCTCTCTCTCTCTCTCTCTCTCACACACACACACACACACACACACACGTTCCTCCTCACAAAGCCAGGCACATTTTAGATATGCTCTAGTTCAGAGACTCCTAAAATCCCTTTTTAAATCAATGTATTCAAATCAGGCCTTGGAGATTTGAATTTTAAGACTTTGTCTTTACATACCAGAGATATGGAGACAGAAGTTTTTCCTTTCTCTCTTTCTCTTCTTTGGTTCTTTGGTTACGTGACTTTGTGCACATTTTTAGATATATGCTATTTTTAGTATGCCAATTAGGTAGAAGGTAAAATGAGAGAAACATACGAACAATTTCTAGTGAGTGATAAGTAGTTTACTTACATTTGAACCAGACAAATCTGCAAGCTAATGTTTTATTTGCTCTGACTGATGCATCTGGTCGCCCTCTGCTTTGGACAGCAGCAAGCTGAGACATGCCGTGCCAGTCACAACTGTTTATTTAATATGGGGCGTGTTTGAGCCAGAGATCGTAAAGAGGAGCATCATTGAAGCATTTTTTGAAAACAACCAAGATGGTTGCAGCTGATGAACTTTCTGCTGAAGCCACAGGAAATGGCGAAAGTTTAACATACCAGCTCATAACATGTCATCTCATCTCTGCACGCTGTAGTCTGTTAATCGTTTTTTCATCGCTGAGGCATGATTTTTTTTCCCACACATATTGCCAAGACCTGGCCACTAGACACTGCGTCCTCAGTCACAAGTTGATAACCTGTTAACTCCCATTTGCAATCCAAAATAAACAGAGATGTTCCAGACTAATTTGCAACTGCAGTTTGGGGGGGTTAATAGTTGACAGTCTCTGGACACCTTCAGGATTTCTCTAATTTAGGCCCCTATCAGGACCTAAATCTGGACAGGACCTGCAAATTACTAGATAATATATCCAGATACAGATCATATGTTAACACCAGGTGTAAGAGGGGAACAATACTGGAGTCCCACTGGGCATGGATCCCTTCAAGAATAGCTGATGCAAGTTCCAAGATGTTCCTGAGATTTTCACGTCATCTTGTCATATAGTGAGAATCAAGCTGCCATGCAATGTTAAGTATAACCAGTAAAACTTATTAGAGGCCTTGTTTGGACTGCCAGCTCCAAACTGTTTTTTGGTGTATGCAGACTGATTTTAGAAAGCTGATTTCAAAGTGTCTTTTGTGAAACGTTACCGTATCCTTGAAGCAGAGCTTTTTCAGCTGAGCTGAGGTTGACAATGTCATATAAGACATAATGATGAATAATTTTAAATATCTCTGGAATGCTGCATGCAAGAACTTATTTAAATTTGCCCAGAAGCTAACTTAAACCATCGCGCTGTTCCAACGAGGACTCAGGTGCGATATTACCCCTATAACAAGCTTTGTAATACAGCCTTGAACTGCAGTGGTTTTTTGGAGACTTGGAAACCCTGAATGTTTTTTGTGATTATTTTTCAATTATTCTACAGTATGTTGAAAAAAATCGTTGTTAGTCTCCATTTCTCCTGCGTCAGCATTGGAAAACTGTATCACCAGTGTAGCTACATAGTTACTGATGCCACACCATTACCACAGCAACCCATGCAGATAAGTTAGTGCCATCTGGACACACAAATCCAATGTGATCACTTGTAACAGTGTGGACAGTCTGTTGTGAAGATCTAATCTGAGGAACAAATCTAATGTGCCTGCAGTCTGAACGCAGCCAGTATGACCAAAATGGGTATATCATGTGTTATAGTGTTATAAGACACACTTGAAAAGATGTGAAACTACCCTTTATCCAACATACAGTATTTAAGGATCCCAATTCACATTTAAGCAGTCATGACAGTCCATTGGAGATGCCTTGCTACACCAAAACCAGACCTAACTGCCGTCCGTACCCTTAACCTAAAGATAACTACAGGCAAAACGCCAACTTTATACGTAACACAATTTCAAGGAACTTCAGAATTTTTTTTGATATGACTCTTTCTCTGAGGCATCCGCAGTGGTGGTAGCTAGTGTCTTCTGTACACACACATGTAACACACACATAACACATTATATACTGCTTATATTTTTTTAGATTTATATATACTTATTTTGAAAATGGTTGGCCTCAGAATCTTTTGCAGTTTGTGTAGAACAGTTATATAAGAGGGACAGAGAGGGAGACAGAAATACAGAGATGTTAGGTGCTATTCTGGACAGATATGAATGTGAGAAACATAACAGAAGCGGATAGACTGAGCTGTTGCAAAGCCTCCTGGCAGAGATGTGGAGTCTTGTACACCGGGTTGGGGAAGGTTTCACAACACGAACCGCCGCAGCTTCACTGATATCTTTCTATCGGTTGTAAAATAATCCAATAACAATCCACGAAAGTTGCGTAAGTTTGCATTCATTTTAAAACTGATTGAGACAAACAATAGTAACATTAGTTTTCCAAAGCTTTCTCTTGTTTCTCAGTATAGTGTTAAACATTGTTTTCCCCAAACTCAACCATTGGTTTCTTTTTTCTGCAGTATAGTTTGAAGAATTAACGCAAAACGACCAGGAAGGGACTCAAAATGACCACAAAGAGATGCAAAGGCAAAGAGACACAACATAACTACAAAAATGGATACAACTACCACAGAGAAACACACAGTTACTACAAAGAGATACAAGATGACCAAGCTGCATTTAGTATGTAGGCTTTAGTGTGTAATTGGAAAGGTTACACGCTGGCATTCACACTTGGGTCAAATGACTCTGCAGGAGTCACGGGTATTTATCTAGTCAGGCTCTGATTGGCATTGATGAAAATATGGCACAAAGGCAAACAAGCTGATTTTAGCCCCTTTATCAACAAGATGTAATCACAGGCTGCCACACTATACTACCTGTCTCCACTTAAGCAGCACTCAAGCATTGTTCCTAATTGTTCTGCACAGAGATAGAACGAGGGAGTGAATAAGTGAGAGATATAAAGAGAAGTAACCACTGTAACATTGTTACTGGCCTCTTTCTGCTGTTCACCAACCTGTTTTCTGGCCTGTCCGTGACACTAATAACTGGCAATGGGAAAGGAGTGTATAGCGAATTCTTAGCAGGATTTCTGTGTTTAAAAAACCCGCGTCACTAATTTTAGTGATAAAAGGGTGTAGGAGCGAGGGTTGGGCCTTTCACATATCTTTGCCCAGGTTCATTGTCTCATAGTCAGCCCATGGCAAATATGGAACCTGATGGAATAATGTAACATTTTGGATTTTGATACATTTCCTATTTTATTTTGAAGTACTAACCTCTTGTGTCACTGCAAATCTTGGGTTCTGACACACTCCACCCACCTAAACACCAGTGCAGACCAGGCACCCCCCAACATGCCAGTGGCATTTCCCAGTAGCTGACCCCCCCCCGTGCTGTTACCCCACCTCACAACCCAAAGGACTCAAAAGATCTGAAGCTAACGCCCTGGTGCCAGACACCAAAGGACACCCCCTACAGGTTCTGTGTCCATGCCTTGACAGGTCAGAGCCAAGTCCTGTCCAAGAAGCACCCACTGTAGGACAGGGGTACCTCTGGGGTAACAGCACGTCCCTCAAACGTTCAGTCAGGTTGGGATCTGGGGTATTTGGAGGCCAGGTTGATGCCCTGAGGCATCGTTCCTCAGGTCATTCCTGAGCAGTTTTTGTGGTGTGACATTGTGCATTGTCCTGCTGGGGGGGGCACTGCCATTGACAAGTGCCATTGCCATAACAGGGTGTACTTGGTCTGCAACGGTGTTCAGGTGGGTGGAGACCCAAGGTTTCCCAATGGAATGTTGCACTGTAACAGGATGATCAATGTTATTCGTTTCACCCCCCCCTACCCCCGCCCCCCCGCTCATGGCTCTGCCAGATTGTCTTTGTTCCTCTGAGTCATAGCTTTCTAGCGATCTCTATGTTTGAGTCCTTGAACTTTCCCTGTTTTGGATTTAAGGAGTTTTTGCCCGCTCCCTGTCTGTTTTGGATTTTGTTTGTATATTACCTTTTTGGACCTTTTTGGACTGAAGTAAAGACTGTGCCATATTTTGAACACTACTCTGCCTCCTTTGTGTTCCCTGTATTTGAGTCTGAGTTTTCACCAGGGTCATTACAAATAATGCAGCTGATCACACAGACATTCACTGATGGTTCTAAATCAGTAATTTCAGACCTTTTCCAGGGTATTCCAAATGGTAAAGAAACTACCACAAACTATTGGAAAATGAATTTGATAACAAAATTAAAGTCAGCAGTGTGTGAAAACTATCTTTTCTACTTCTTCTTTTACATATTGGCGTGAATTCTGTTGGAAGAATATTATTTGTTTTTTCACTACTCCTAAATTGAAAACAAAAATGAAAATGTGGGGATGACGAGGCTTTTGCTTATGCCCAAAGACACAACTGTTTTAAGAAAATACTGTATCTGGAGAATCATGCAGGGCTGCAGGTCCCACTGGCACGTGTGTCACTTTATTTGTGCAGTCTGACAGGAGGAATAATAGGAAACGTCAATACCGCCTGGAAATATTTACAGCAGCAGCAGCAAAAAAAGCAATCGCTCACAAATGGTTACAGGCCGATAAACCTACAGTTGATAACTGGCTTGAAATCATCAAAGAGATCCATGAGACGGAAAGAGTGACTTCTTTCTGAGACTGAGAAATGATTTGGGTTTTGCAAGAAAATAGATAACATATTTGTTGGAGTAAGGAAGGTGCTCTGTTCATCCTCACTGCTTAAAATGACATATACCTTCCTTAAACTGTACTGGGAAAATTATATGCAAATTATAAACTGCATAAAGACCCCCCCGCCTTTATCCCATAATATAAGATGTCTGTAATCTGGTTATGATGAATGTCATAATGTCTGGCAGTGATGTTTCGTATTATTGTTTTTGCCAACCAAAAAAAAGACCTAATATAATAAGTGTCAAAAGAAAGAACCCTCAGATAAGAAAGTTATCCATTCCCTAATCTACATGAAAACATGTGTGTGTGTCCTCTCCCTCAGGATGCATGGAGCGACAGCGAGGGTCACGTTTCACTGGACAGCCAACAAGATTACGAGCTGATAGAAGCCAAAAACAAACCTGACGGATTCTACCTGCTCTTCAAAAGACCGTTCAGCACCTGTGATCCCAGAGACTACCTCATAGAGGTCTGTAACATCTTTCTTTCAACAGCGTGTGTGTGTGTGTGTGTGTATGTGGCAGGGAAGCAGTTTGCAATAAAAATGTTCACCAATAATGGATGGAAATTATTCCGACTCCTCAAGGAGGCTTTGCACCTATAGTAGACCTATACACAGCAGTGACTCACTCTGCTATCTTAACGTCACACTCGTTCATCTTTCATGAGCTGTTTAAACTGCCAGAGCAAACACAGCATTGTATTACAGAGGAATCCTGTATATTTAGCTCTGTATAATATTTTTTTTAAAACCTTACTGCCCCCCTTATATCACTACAGTCTCCCATCATTCTCCTGTTAAACACTATGTCAGCCCTCCATTCTACCTGAGTGCACTTAAAGGGCCAGCAGACTTGTTGCTCTATATGTCACGCATAGCCTCAAGCCAAAATAATGTCTGTCAATCCTGCGCTGACTTAAAATGACAGTTAACAGGTGGCGAGAAGATAACATGTGAGGAAGGCGGGAAAGATGGCGCTCGAGTGCACACATGTGTAACCTAACAACAGTGTGTTTGCACTGTATGTGTTAGTCGATGAATGTGTAGGGTACATGTGTGTAGGGGGCGGATTTGCATCGCTGTCTTTGATGAATATTAAGAAGAAGCAATGACACAGATGATTGCAGAGAGCTCATGGTTTCATGTAAGGATGGGAATCAAGAACTGGTTCCAGTTGAGAGCTGGTTCCAAATGTCCGGTCCATTGAATCGTATGCCTCCGAGCTTATTACTTCCTTTTATTGAGCTAGCAGTTTAGTGTTGCAAAACAATGACAGCAAGGTCACACATCTATACTCTGCTGGAAACTTGCAACAAGATGGAGTGATAGCAGAGAGGAAGAAAAGGCTCAAAGCGTGGCTTCATTTCACGGAGAAAGACGACAGCAGTGCTGCTTGTAGGCCTACTGTCTGTAAAAAGATCATTTCAAGTGAGGGTGGAAACATCAGCGGTAGATATCTTTCTGCACAACATGAGCCTAAATTCCAGGAAAGCAGCATATTTGCAGTGGTGAATGAAGAACCTGAAAGCCACACTTGAGTAAAGTAAAGATGTCTTACCAGAAAGTGGCTTTGGTAGAATGTAAAGTCACCTATTAGAATATTACTGAGTAAAAGTCTTAAAGTATCTGATGTATCAAAAGTAATTTTGTAATATCAAGTGTAATTAAGTGTTAACATTATGAAGTCCACGTAAATTCTGTCAATAAAACAGCAAGCAGTCAGAATTTTACGAAGTTTATTTCTTCTTAAAATGTATGCCAACTTCCCCTGACCCCTGCACGCCGACCCTCTAACCCCAGACACAGAGAGACCATATTTCCAGAGCTGCAAATATTAGTAGCTGTCATTGTAATTATTATCACCATCACTACTATTGACTGCAGCCCTACAAGGCGATGTACATGGACTTAGGACAAGCACAAACCAAAAACATGCAGAAAAAGAGAGAAAATAAATAAAAAAAGGCAATGTTAATAATAAATAAAATGTAATAATAATAAAAACAATACTTCCCTTGTTTCTATTTCATTCATTCCAGCCCCACCTGTTGGCCAGCCAGGAATCCAATGAATGAATGCCAACTTAAAAATGGAGCCCACGTTACACTTGAAGAAAAACAAGATCCTTTTTGCAACTTAAAGGATTAAAAGAACAAAATCCAGTTTTTACTGTCCTTCAATTCCTGCATCCGTCCCTCTGTCCCTCCGTCCCTCCATCCCTTCCTTCCTTCCTTCCTTCCTTCCTTCCTTCTATCCTTCCCTATTTTGTAGTTAGTAACTAAGATGCTCGGGGAAAATGTACTTTAGTAAAAGTATATACTTTATTTAGGAAATGTAGTGGTGTAAAAGTGAAAGTTGACAGAAATATAAAAACTATAGTAAAGTACAGATACTCTAAAAAAAAGTACTATAACAAAGTATTATTACTTTGTTACTTTGTAGCACTGTGTATTTGACACTACGCATGAGTGCCACTGCCTCCAAAACAAGCAGCACGTCCTTTACGAACTATATGCATGCATATAGGTACAGTATGTGTTTAAGTGTACTGTATATGTTGGTGTAGGTGTAAATATCCTATTTTAAAATAGCATTAGCACCATGCAGACAGGCTCAGCAGATTTTTTCTTTGACTGAGAAAACCTAAATAAAAGCTGTACAAATATTCTCTCATTACATGTATTTTAGATGATGACAGGCAGACTGTTGCAGCAGCCACCATATCTCACACATCATCTCACGCTTGCTACACATGGAGGGAAAATGAATAAAGAAAGGGTGTAGGCCACTTTTTCCCACAGAGAATCAAAAGGGGAATCAATAAAGAATCAGACCAATAAGCAGAGTCGATAATGACACTAGTATCAATAAAATCTTATCCCTTCCTATCCCTAGCTTCAGGTGTGGATATAAAATCCTCATATAGCAGAAATGATCAGCACAATTTCCACTGAAACATTCATTATAGTTACAATGGTTTCCATGGTGCTGCATCAGACCTCTAAGTTGCAGACATAAAACCAATGGTCATCACCATGACAACATAATGAAAAGTTCTCTGTTTGCCTTTGCAGGCATTTCAGCCAAATGATAATCATGAGAGACTACTAATTTGAAAAACACATCCCTGTGTTTATGCTCTGCTATCAAACAGGCTTTCTCCTCTGATTTTTTTTTTTGTGTTTGGTTAGGAGGGAACAGTGCACGTCATCTATGGACTTTTGGATGAGCCACTTGCCTCGCTGGAGCAGCTCAACTTGTCCCGGATCCACACGGGGATACAGAGAGTGCTGATGCTGCGCCCCGACACGCCGTCCCCCACCCTGCCTCCAGATGTGCAGACGCTGGATGTTGTGGCACCAAATGTCGTCATACCAAATCAAGAGACCACCTACTGGTGCTTCATACAGGAGCTGCCTGAAAACATGCCCAAGAACCACATTGTTATGGTATAAATGCCTCCGAAAAAAGAAACACGGAACATGGATTTTTACGCACAGTGGAGTGGGTGTTTTAGATGGAGATCGTGCACAGGCAGCTGTTATTATTGCTCCTTGTTTACCAGCCGGGCCTTACAAAACAAGAGAGGCATTGTTATGGCTAGAGAGCAGAGAGAAAACATCACCTCACAACCTTTATATTTTCTCTCAGAAATAGATGTGGTATATATAATTTGATGAAATGTGAACAGATCTGACCTAAAAAACATGGAGTATTATAAGACATGGAGGTTACAGCACATTATGTTGCATATAATTCATTTCAGCGATGTTTCTATTGACATACCTGTCTGAGGTAGTGGCATTGCCAAAGCTTTTAGCAGTAAAAACACATAAAACAACAGGATTCTCACTTTTTTCCCACTTGCTTCTTTTTCTCCACCTCTCTCTCTCTGTTCCTGTCAGTATGAGTCAGTGGTAACTCCAGGTAACGAGGCCATCGTGCATCACATAGAAGTGTTTGAATGTTCTCCGGAAATCCGCAACGTTCCAGAGTACAGCGGCTCCTGTGATGACAAGATGAAGCCGGGCAAGCTCAACTTCTGCCGCCATGTGCTCGCTGCATGGGCTATGGGTGCTGAGGTACAATGGGAAACAGACACCCACACGCATCCCCTTACTTCTGTCCTTATGGGGGACCTTCCAGTGACTATATTTACTCATTTTTCCTTATCAAAACTAAAAGAAAGCACTGCTGAAAACTTATATAATGTACATAATATAACTTTTATGATGCAAAGCCAAGTCCTGACCCTGAAACTGCCACTTGAAGATGTAACAATCAACCCACACAAACCCCATCAGATGAAGCAGAATAAACATATACATTGACGAGTTTTTAATAAGCATAACAGGTGTCTAATTGAAAGAGGGTTGGAATAATAGCCTAATTTTGGCCCTGTCCTCGTACCTATTATGAGAGATAAACAAAAACTCCTACGGGAGTAATATCCAAGCCTAGAAGTGCGAGCAGAAAACCTTGTAAAGTTGATCCCACACGCAGCACAAGTCTATTAAGAGCTCGGAGACAGTCTGTATGTGGGAAGCACAGTCACACGCAAGTATTCACAAACTCCATTACATGGACACTCAACACAAACACGAATGAAAAACATATTTATGTAAATTGGAAGCTTAGAAAGAGGTACAAAGCAGAAGAGGTTACATCATGGCTGATATTCTCAGTCAACCGACTGATCTGCCATTGGCTGTAGCTACCACTGAGGACAAGAGGTTATGTGATGTCCACACTAGTTTCTCTGGGAATCATATAGTCAGTACTTTACAGCCTCGTTTCTGTATTTCTGGACTCAGTAATGTATATTTGAAGTTGAGCTACTTCATATTTTTTATATTAACAACAGATGAAACACTTAACATTTCCTTATCCAACGGTTTGATTTATATCTAACAAAGTTGTGCCCCAAGAATGGCATTGTCATGTTAAGTAATTAATATTAAGTTACGTAAGCTTGATTTAGGAAAATAAAAATAGTTGGGTGTCCTTATACTTTTACATACTTAATGTAAAGTTACGTATAGGGAAGCACGATAATATCAGCACGTCATCTGTATTGGCCGATATTGGCTTTAAAATGAAATATCGGAATCACCCAATGTGCTGATGATATTGGTATGTCATCAGTATTGGTCAATATCAGCTTTAAATTAACTATCAGAACCACCCAACATGCTTTTCTTATTTTGCACAATGAATAAATATAACATACATTGAAAAGTATTGTATTTCAAGTCTCCATCTGCTGGTGAGTCATCATGATAAGAGTACGCATGCATAATTTGAAGTTAATTCAACTACAGAAGAGACCTGATGATCACTAAAATTAGGTAGAAAAAAAATAACGGTATCAGTATCGGTCATCTGTCAAATGAGTTGTTACTTGTTGGGTATTGGCAAAAAATCCAATATTGTGCATCCCTAGTTAGGTTCTTCATGTAGAGTTAAGTAGGTTAGGTTTGGAAAAGTTATGTAGGCTTGGTTTAGAAAAAGAAATATAGTTGGGCATCTTCACATTATATACTTCATGTAAAGTTATGTTCTTAACTTGAATTTATGTAGGTTAGGTTTAGGAAAGTAAAGTTATGTGGGTTAGATATAGGGAAAGAAACATGGTACCCTAAAATAACAAATTTCACTTGGTTTCACATGGGACACAAACACCACTCTCCTGGGGTAAAGTCCTCAGTTTGTTTGACACATCCACCACCTCAACTGACTCCTTATGTCAACTTTTGCTCTTTATACTACTTCCTTCTTTACTCCCGTCAGCGAATTGGTCACGTGATTGCGGTCATTTTGATTACTTAGGTTATAAACAAATTACTGGTTCATGATTACAGGGGTTATGTACAAATTCTGATGTATTACTTTTTGTAGGTATAGGTTCAAACAGTGCATGCATACAGCCTGAATGACTACATGTAATGGGTTATTCATAGAGCCAGAACCCATTGAGTATTATTACCTGACTCAGATGTTTCCCTGAGTCCTACAAAGTGCTTCTTTCAAGCTTATTTTAGACTTTCCAGCACACAAATTCTGCTCATTTTGCAGCTAAAGTGACACCAATTTTTATCTGGAGTTGGTGAATCACAAACTAAACTTTAAAAAAGAATGAAAAGTGGTCTTGCAGTCATCAGGTGACCAGAAACACTACTCCAGCTCCGCAAGTACTGTAAACAACTGTCTGCTAACATTGTTAAAAGTGATACGTCAATGTCGAGTTACAGCTTGTTCTGCTGCCCCCAAGTGGCCAAAACGATAGCTGTGCCCTGATTCGCATACTTTTTCTTTTTACTATTAGTATATACTGCAGTTGCCCTTAAAAATTGCATTCTGTAGCATGGGGTATGCTCAAAACTGGGACCTACTACTTTGTCATAACATTGGGCATTGAACACTGAATCTCCTGCTCATACGCTCAACACAATCTGTAGTGTGAAATTTGAAGTAAAAAGAAAAAGTATGCAGTCTGGAACGCAGCAGATCTTAACATTATCAACTAAGGTTAGCTTGGAGATAACAAAACATGGCATTCACAAGCTCGTTGTTTTACAAGTAGTTTGAACTTTTGAGTGATAACTGTATGCTGTACACTGTAAATTGTTTTCAATTGATTGACTGATTGATTATAGTCATTTTGGCTTCTGTCAGCTGCCAGTGACCTAACATCTTTCTGCAGCTCAGACAATGTGATGTATCCTGCACTGTGTAGAGGACTGTGGGTCACAATAGCCAGAAAAGCAGGCTAGCTTGAATATTGCAAAGTTCAACCAGATGCAATAGAATATCCTGATGTTTTTGGCATACTGCATTTGGCATATTATATATTAGGACATACTAAATCTTTTTCCTGGAATGAGAATTTCTAAGATCCTTGCTTCGACCCTGAGAGTCAGCTAGCCAACAAATCAGCCAGCCAAAAGGTGGCAAAGAAACGTGACTTACCAGTCCTTTAATCGAATTCTTCTCTCAACTCATTAAAATCACTGCAACTACCAGAGTTCTCTTCTCCTCCGTTTCTTTTGGGGAAACAAACACATTTCAGTTCTTTTCTGAGGCAGAGCTCCTGACTGAAATAGTGCAGGAGAAACACACCTGTTTCCTCAGCCATCTTCCCAGTCAGTCATCTATCAGACATTAAATCACCCCACTTACATACCACAGCTACCAACCAGCCGGCTGACCGAGCAAGCATGCAAGCAGCCTGCTGGTCACATAAAGCAAAGAGGACAGGGAACGGTGAGCCTGTCACCATATTTCTCTGCTCCGCTCCCCACTGTATCACAGCCAGCCTGGCCCCTCTCTGATTGGATTATCTGCCAGCCAAACAAAAACAAGCAGGATGCCTTCTGTGAGCTGTGAGCTGTGAAGACAAGATTAGGTGGGAAATATTCAGGCCTCTTTCATCACCTCTTAATAGTGTTGTTTCATTCTCCCCGGCACCACATCAGAAGGGAAACGTGGCCGCACGAAAACACAAAACAACAGAGAAACGGGAAAAAAGAAAGGGTGAAGTTTGACAGAAGAGAGAAACAATAATGTACGACAATGTCAAAATGCGAGGAGAAAGGACAACACAGCACAAAGACAGATGCGTGTGGAGTGGAGAGAGCAAGTCTCTGAGGGTTTTACTGTTACGACATTAAAGCAGGATTTAATAAAACAATTCTTTCTTCCATTACAAACTGAATGTATCAGCAGAAGTGGCTTAAGGTGAAGACACCGAGGTAGAATTGAGATTAAATCAAGATTCCTTGATACAAGCGCGGAGGTTTGACGCCCATGGGGCCAGCAGTGACTCAAAAATTAATTTCTACCACGATAAGCAGAACAGTTCAGAATCCAAGGAGTGTAAGAAGAAAAAAAAACCTCACAAGTTCAACCGGCATCTCGGAGGACACATCCATATGAGAATACAACCGTTCTCTGTGTAGAAATAATCAATAAACATTGTTCGAGCCAGCTCATAGATCCTCCAAAAAGGCCTCAAAGACATTTGAAGATTCTCAACAAGGAACATAGTTGATGCAGACTGATTTTAATCTGTGTTAATGATCTGTTTTTTGTATCATAATCAGTTTTAAATCCCTTTTTTTGCCATACAATCTGTTCCCGTTACAATTTTAGATTCTGTGGGTGGTTGGGAGCTTGTAAGGAGGCATGGCTTTATTTTTAGTAGCCATCATCAAACATTGCAGAGAACCACTCCAGTATAGCTCAGGAGGCAATCTATTATCTCTGCAGTGTGGGCAAGAAGATGAATAAGACTGATGTAATTGTCATTTCTTAGATATACCATGTTACATCTGAAACAGGACTGGTTTGAGGCGGATTGAGGAAGCCTGTCTTTGAGTTTTAGACATCCTACATTGGGTCACATAAATCAGTCTCGTCTGGACGTTTGAGAAACACCTGTCAAAGCTCCTCAGAGGCTGGATATATGTCTTTCAACACCTAATTTGCACATCTGCACAGCAGTATAGTACATGTTGGTGACTTCTTTTTGTCATCCTCTAACAATGCCTGCCTTGAGCAAGGATGTTAGAAGTTATTTTTCAGCTCCATCCTCAGAATTTGAGACATTTAAATGTGTTTTTCCCGACGGGGACCTAAGCGCATTAAAGTCCCAGCATGTGATAATAGTTTGGTTCCTTTCACTAAAACACTGTCACCCTCCACCAGTGGCTTTGTTTAGAGAAACCTTCCTCACTCTTAAATGTATTACTTTGTGCGTGTAGTACAGAATGCAACAACAAATCACAAGTTACTGGGTGATATTTGGAGAATACAGGGATAAAATGCACCTACATTCTGACTTTTGCACAGACGGAACAAAAATCTTTTTACTCAACAGCTTTGTATCATCTGTATGCTACGTGAAGAAGAGTTTTTGCTTTGACTTCAAAGCAGCTGTTCATAAATGAGAGGAATAATGCATTGTGTATGTGTGTGTGTGTGTGTGTGTGTGTGTGTGTGTTTGCTTGCAGGCTTTTTACTATCCTCCTGATGCAGGGCTGTCTATGGGTGGACCTGGTTCCTCAAGATTCCTTCGTCTGGAGGTCCACTACCACAACCCTCTCCTTATATCAGGTAATGGCCTTAGCCACCGTGACGTCACCAATTGGCTTATGGAATCCATTTTGAAGCCTTGTATTTGGCATTTTGGCCGTCGCCATCTTGGATTTTTGGAGCCAAAAGTGACCCAGGTGACCATACTTGGATGAGAGGGTGGAGCTGAGGAGGAGTGAGGGGTGGATTTGACACATAGGGCCCGTCACTCAAACTAGCTACACTGTTAATCATGCATAACTTTAAGCCTAAAAAGTGTACACTCATCTTGAACAGTAAATTAGCCGTAGAGACGAAAAACCTTTTTTTGTACCAGGCTGTAAACATGTTTATTTCTACCGTAAAGTTTTGGCATTCTAACATGAGAGTCTATGGGGATAAACTAGCTTTTGGAGACAGCCTCAAGTGGCCATTTGTGGAACTGCAGTTTTTGGCACGTAGGCATTAGCTACATTTTTCAACCCCGCAGGTTGCTGCTTGGTAAACACCCACACAGACTTGAATCCAAGCACATATCGGTATACATTTCTTTTCAACACTGGGGGTACACATGAAACACTGGGTTTGGGGTCCACCCCCAGGAATTCTTTGAGCGCCAAACACTTAATTTCCTGCATTCTGGGGATTTTTTTTGCACCAATTTATAGCAGAAATGTCTATAAATTAATCAAATTAAAGGTCTTCTGCAACTTCCACATTTTTATTGGAGAGTACAAATGCATATGTTGTAAAAACTGAGGGGTACATGCTCCCTGCATTCCTCCCAAAAACTACACCTGTGCACACACACACAGAGCAGGATTCGGTGTATGTCTCCTGATGAGTGCTCGGCTTATCTTCAACAGAGCAATTCATTTATAATGTTCCAGATATACCTCTTGATCTCACTTGTTCGAGTTGCCACAGACTTTGCCTTCTCCATATCCTGATATGACCTCACAGTATATATCCTACATAACTACGATTTTGTGCATCATCTTATCTCTTAATTCAAATTTTCCTGCAGTTCAGAGATACAGAAAAGCCATTGCATCAACTTGACACTAATAATTGAGCCAGAAAAACAGCATCACTGGTGTGATATTGATTTGAATTTTTTGAATGTATTCAGCATTTTATGCCTTTGGTGAAAGTGCTAAATCATTCTGCTTGGTGTTTAACATGATCTACTGGTAAACTGACTGAACATTACATACCTTAATATTTCATGATGTTCCTCATGCAGGCCGTCGTGACTCATCAGGGATACGGTTGCATTACACCCCTAGTCTGAGGCGGTACGATGCAGGGATCATGGAGCTGGGCCTCGTTTATACTCCTATCATGGCTATCCCACCCAAACAGCACACCTTCTACCTCAGCGGATATTGCACCTCCAAGTGTACCCAGACTGTATGTATAGAACCAAAAACATCATTTACTGCACTATTTATGGTTCAAATATACAAATACAAAGAATGAGCCACATATTTCTTCAAGTTTTAGTCCTGAAAACACAAAAATCTTGGTTGGAGCTTGTCCTTAAAAAGTCTGTTTCTCTGTCTAGGCTTTGCCTCCAGGAGGAATCTTTATATTTGCGTCCCAGCTGCACACCCACCTGGCAGGCCGCGGGGTGAGAACAGTTTTGGTGAGGGGAGGCAAAGAGCTGGAGGTGGTACAAGAGGACCAGCACTTCAGTACACACTACCAGGTGAGCAACGGCAGGGCTCAGTCAACCCAGAGGACCTCAGTACAGAGAACCACCTTTGTGCATTGTATCTTATATTGAATTCTATTGGATAAAAATGGGTTTTACTTCCTATTACACTGAGCTGTGTGCTGCTGGGACAAAGATTACCCTTGACAACATAACAGAGAAATGAAGACTGAAGCTTACTGTTGCTACTGACTTCTACTCATCTTTTCAAATAACAAGCTGCCATCTCATTACAATAAAGGCCAAAGAAGTGGTGCTGAAAAGCCTGAATATTAAATTGTTATTTCTCTTATCACCAACAAATCCCATGAAAAGACCAAAACCAGCCCATCAGCTGATATTGAGGACATAAATCTTTGAAAACAGCCCACAAAAGTATAATTTCATTCTTTAAAAAGGGCTCAGTAATTCCCTGAAACAGCAGGGCACTGTCGCTTTTATGCAAACGCTTCTCAGACTAGGGTAAACAGAGCATTTGTTGGGGACTATTTTCAGCGGTGGATTAATACACATGTGGTGCCCTGGTGGCTATTTCAAAACAAATGGCTGTGCCCATGTTTACTGTAATGAAAGAACATATGAACCAGTGCACAAGTGTGTCTCAAATAGTTTTTGGACAACCATATATGGCACATGAGCATCTTGGGCTTTGGCAACACAGACATCACTACATCAATTTGTGCTTTTAATAAAAAAGTACAAATTGTGCACAACTTGTGCAGTATAACCCAAGTCCCACTTATCCAGAACTCAGTATCTCAGTATTCAAACACATGCATTTATGCTAATAACATGCAATTTAGCCAAGGAGTAGCATGCCTGAGCTTTTATCTACACTCTTGTGCAAATTGCAGTCCTGCTGGTATTCTAAAGAAAATTATAATTTGTCACATCTGTCACAGTTATACCAGTCACGACATGAATCCAGACATCATAAAGTATAGCACTCTATAATCTTCATCCACAAGACAGCAGTATAAAATAAGTTCCTGACCATCAACTCAACATCAGAGCTGACAAACAACATTGTTGAGAGACAACATCTGTTGTGTTTTTTTTAATGCACAATATCCCGGGGCAGGTACACACACACACACACACACACACACACAGGGCAGAGAAGGACATCTGCTAGGCTGCCTGATACAATCTCCAGCTGTCGTTGATGTCAGACTAATTTAAGTGTACCTGTGTGGTGGTGCTGTTTCAAACCCTGCAGCTTCATTACAGGCATATGAAGACTTTATCAAACCATTCTCAGCAAAGCTAATAGACCTTTTCAAACGCACACAACACAACTAATAACTGTGAAAGCTGCCTCAAAGGAAATCATCAAAAGCAACCAGTGTTTTATCTTGCTGTGTTTGAAATAAATCTGCTGTACATAAAGGGTCTGACTGTGCCCAAATCTAAGATGATGGAGAGGGAAATGCATTGTAGAAATCTGCCTCGTGGAAACTAAGAATTCTATTCTGACTTTTGAAAAACTTCATACAAGGAACTTTTGTATTCAATCCACTTAAATCATCATCAGAGGAACCGGACTGCACCCACAAATAGTATCACTGCACAGAAGGAAGTGTGCATTTACTCATGGACGAGAGGCTCGTGCTTGTAACAGCGCAAGATGTAAACATTAATGGTGTTCTAACATTAGCTCAGTGGTGCTAGGTGAGCTAGCAGTAGATGTGCGCCTCTTTTTGGAGGACGACCTGCTGAAGTTCAACCTGAGCATCAGAATGGGGAAGAAAGGTGATTTAAGTGACTTTGAACGTGGCGTGGTTGTTGGTGCCAGACGAGCCGGTCTGAGTGTTTCAGAAACTGTTGATCTACTGGGATTTTCACGCACAACCATCTCTAGGGTTTACAGAGGATGGTCCCAAAGAGAGAAAATATCCAGTGAGCAGCAGTTCTCTGTGTGAAAATGCCTTGTTGATGCCAGAGGTCAGAGGAGAATGGCCAGACTGGTTCAAGATGATAGAAAGGCAACAGTTACTCAAATAACCACTGGTTACAACCAAGGTCTGCAGAAGACCATCTCTGAACCAACAACACGTCCAACCTTGAAGCAGATGGGCTACAGCAGCAGAAGACCACACTAGGTGCCACTCCTGTCAGCTAACAACAGGAAACTGAGGCTACAGTTCACACAGGCTCACCAAAACTGGACAATAGAAAGTTGGAAAAACGTTGCCTGGTCTGATGAGTCTGGATTTCTGCTGCCACATTCAGATGGTAGGGTCAGAATTTGGTGTAAACAACATGAAAGCATGGATCCATCCTGCCTTGTTTCAATGGTTCAGGCTGGTGGTGGTGGTGTAATGGTGTGGGGGAGATTTTCTTGGCACACTTTGGGCCCCTTAGTACCAACTGAGCATGGTTTAAACACCACAGCCTACCTGAGTATTGTTGCTGACCGTGTCCATCCCTTTATGACCACAGTGTACCCATCTTCTGATGGCTACTTCCAGCAGGATAACGCATCCACCACAGCCTACCTGAGTATTGTTGCTGACCGTGTCCATCCCTTTATGACCACAGTGTACCCATCTTCTGATGGCTACTTCCAGCAGGATAACGCATCATGTCACAAACCACAAATCGTCTCATACTGCTTTCTTGAACATGACAGTGAGTTCACTGTACTCCAATGGCCTCCACATTCACCAGATCTCAACCCAATAGAGCATCTTTGGGATGTGGTGGAACGGGAGATTCGGGAGAATGTTTCCAGCACCTTATTGAATCTATGCCATGAAGAATTGGGGCAGTTCTGAAGGCAAAAGGGTGTACCAAGGTGTACCAAGCAAGGTGTACCTAATAAAGTGGCTGCTATATTTTTGATTTTGTGGTGAACTACCCCTTTAATGTGCTGTGTTTGTTTTTGTCTTCTCTTTCACAGACAATCCGAGTTCTAAGGAAAATGGCAAATGTTCTACCCGTAAGTATAAAGCCGATAACTACCGCCTGTGTTTGACAAAAGTAGTGACTATTATTATGTTTTACTTTTCCACTGAGCAGTTTTCACATTCAGACAAGAATGGGAATTTTACTATTCTGCAAGCTCAGCCAGCCTCCTCTGAATGGTAGTGTCCCAGATGTATTTTTTCCTCCGCTTTGCATTTAAAGTATTGAATTAGAATACCTCGCTGCTGCATAAGGTGCTTAAATGGAGTGGAAATAAGGGACAGGCTGTAAAATCTGTGCTGTCATAGGACGTTCTCGGGAGACAGACAAGACAAAACCGCAGCAGCTGAGCTCCACAAAGCAAGAAACTGGCCACTGGCTCCCTTTAATAACTAATTTTCTGTCAGTAACCTTAAATTATCTTCGGAGCGCTTTGTTAAACATAAAACATGGTGAACTGCTGTGTGTGCTTGATCCTGCAGGGTGACGTCCTCATAACAAAGTGTACTTTTAACACAGAAGACAGGAGCAAGCCTACAGTGGTGAGCAGCACACTAATATACACGACTATTTTAGGTCGCTGAAGTTCACCTTGAGCACTGTCGACAGCAACTGAATAATTTTGCCTTCTCTAATCTGTCTCCTCCCTCCTTCACTGTTGTAATCCTTCCATCTTTCCCCTCACTAATACCTACGTCTGCTCTTTATATCTACATCCTCCTCCATCTCCATCCAAACCTCTTTGTCTCCTCAGGGAGGTTTTGGCATCATGGAGGAAATGTGTGTTAACTACGTTCACTACTACCCCCGAACCAAGCTGGAGCTCTGCAAGAGCCACGTTGACCCAGGATACCTGCAGAAATACTTTAACTTCATTAACAGGTAGCACACGCAGGGACCATCTCTCTCTGCCTGAAATCATTTGCTTGTTCCCCTTGTCCTTCATTTTTTCCTTTTCCTTTGTGCATCTTCCTCTCCATCTTCTGTGACTAAGCAATTTTTGACTCTCGCATTCCACCCCTTCCCCCTCTGTCCTCCGCTCCCGGGAACCAGTGTTGTGTGATTACTTCTTTTAATCTCAAAAACCAGACGCTTTGTCCTTTAAAGTGAAACTGTGTTCTCCTAACGCCAGTTCTGCCTTTTTTTTCCAAATCTCTTCCTCGTTTCTCAATCTCACTCTGCCTCCCTCTTTTATCGACTTTCCTTCAACCTCCCGCTCCCCCGCCCTCCTGCCCTCCCTCCAGGTTCCACGGAAATGACCAGTGTGTGTGTGGTGAGGTCGGTGTGACGGAGCAGTATTCTCAACTACAGTGGGATGCATTTACGGGTGAGGTGCTGGACTCGCTCTATAATACAGCCCCCATCTCCATGCACTGTAACCAGTCGACTGCACGCCTCTTTCCTGTAAGTCCCCGGTCACACACACACACAAACACACACACTACCACTGACTGCCAAGCCACCAATTAAACCAGTTCAAAGGCAGACATCAGTTGGACAGAACAGTCGGATCAGCTAAACAGACAGCTTGTTAACTTGTTATATGAACACACACACACACACACACACACACACACACACAGGATGTTTGGATCAGAGCGCATAAATCAATCACAGTTCAAAAATGTGAACAGACCTTGATCAAGGTTTTTTTTAGTCAGAAAAAAGCTTCCTCCTTCATGTGCACCATCAGTTGTGCAAGAGCAAACCAGGACAAATGCAGAGGAACAGATTCCAGTGTCTGGGTGAAAACATCAGGAGTAGAACTTCAAAGGGTTCTAGGTATCATAAAGTAAGCAGATCTATCAATAGACACCAGCACATACTTAAAAACCTAGGATGAGGTTTATGATAGGAAACATACTGCTCGATTTCTCACACAGATGCTGTCAAGAGCATTGATTTTCATTCATTTATTTTATTAACTTTGGCTGCAACAGCTTCCAAGATACTTTGGGTGAAGCCGTCATTGGTGAGGAAATCTTAAAGTAATTCAACAGCCAAGCTTAAAGTCAGGTTCTCACAGTGGTAGTCTTTGTAGTGTCGATACTCCAACCTTAGCAAGGGATGAAGAGCGATGCACCAACTGTAGGCAGGAGCTCTTGCAAAAAAAGTGGAGTTGTATTAAGAAAAAGGCTACGAGGCAAAACCTTGTGAGGTTCAACAAAGAGAACTTCAGCTGAAATCAACAACTGAGAGCCACAGCCTCACATACTGCAGAAAGGTGAGCAACGTTCCACCCTCTCAAACTCTCTGAAAAGCAGCCCACCGTCAGCTCAGGCTGGCATTGGGTGAACTGGAAGTAATGGCTGACATTTGAATTTACCAAGAGTCACACAAGCACACCAACTCCGACATTTTTATACTAACTACTATTACTTGAAAGGTCAAATCACCCACTGTTTAGAGGACCTAATGATGCACACCTGTTTTCACTTGTTGGTAATCACAGGGTGTTTCAGGTATCAGACACCTACATCCAAAACCTTTAAGACCTTTTCAAGATAATTTTAACCAAATTTAAAACAGATTTTTGGACAAACCATCATATATTTATATCTATATTGGTTTATATATGGCAATAGAGAATTCACGTTCTCCACAAACTAAATTCCTTTTCCATCAGTCTCGTCATCCTCTGCTGTTTTTATCAGTCTTTTATTGAGAGCCTCCTGTGTTTTTCATTCATCTGCTGGTTTCACAGCCTCACACTGAGAAACAGAAACAGTCTAAATAGATCACAGGAGTGACACAACGAGACAACAGGTTTCTGCAATCAACAAATCCTCAAGAAAGTCACGACTATTTTAGCTTCTTCTGGACATGTTCGTGCAGATGTATTTTCCCTCTTTCCTCTGTTGCCGCTGCTTTAACGGCTTGTAAAACTAACCAGTAGTCAAAATCTTTTATTCCCTCTGCTATTCGTCTTTTAAATTCTCTGTAAAAAAATTTTTTTTATCTCTTTTGTGATAATCTGTCTATTACCATTTATTATTTGTAGATTCCTTTATTCCACTGAACTCCTTGGCACATTTTTTTATGTTTTTTATTTTATTACTCATTTATTTATGTGTCTACATGTTACGTTATGTTATATTAAAGTATGTGTGCAAGGCAAGCTGTTCAAACAAATTGCCCCTTGTGGGATTAATAAAGTTGTCTGAATCTGAATCTGTATTTGTGGTCCCATGCAGATGTAGGCTTTATGTAGGAATATGGTTACAGTTAGAGTGAGTTAGGTAAATCTACATTTTGTCAGCAGGTAAATACATAGTATTAGTTCAGAAATGTGAACTTTCATGCATAAGAGCTTGAATCATTTTGAGAAAAAGAAATTTACAGATGGAGAAATGAAATTTGATATAGAATGTTTGTGATAATTTCGACCTCACACATACAAATTTAATCAAATTTTTAAGGTGCAATCCAACACTGAATTTATGAAATTTTCAGACTTTCAAGGACCTGCAGACAACCTGTCACCAGCAGCGACAAAAGAAGCAGATGAAAACTAAAAAATGAAGCGGCACTGACCTGAAATCATTAATTTTACACAAAAGCTTATAACGGGAAAGTGGACCTTGTGAAAAAGGAAGGAAGCACCTTTTAAAGCTCCCATAAAAGATATACACACAAGACAGGTTCAATATATTGTGTGTAACTAATAAAACCTGCAGTCTAAATATCAAGGATACCACCCTTTTTTTTAAAAAAAAAAATGTGTGTAACCTATCAAATGTCACCAAGACCATTTATCTGTTTCAGGGTGAGTGGGACGAACAGCCTCTACCAGTGGTTACCTCCTTCCTTGAAAAACCTCGCTACCCCTGTGAGGGAGGAGCAGGCCCCACCAGCCGACCCCCTACACCTCCGGTCTGAGCGAGGGGGCGTCACAGCACGCTAAGGCCCAACGAGAGGACACCTTACCTGGGGAAAGTTAGAGAAACTCCTGTGACTTTGCAGAATGTACCCTGGTTTTATCTCTGTGTTTGGGCATAGATGATGTCCTCTACTGGGTTTTCTGACACCTGTTGTAATTATATGCTTATATTCACTGTATGTGTAATTATTAGTACACACAAATGATAATCCTATTCATGTCAAGTTTATAAGCAGTGGACATGGAGAAATGGGATTGGCATCTAACGTACAAAAGAAGTGTTACTTACAAATTAGTGCTGAGGACAAAAGTATTACAACACTTTTGATTCGCCCCCATTTTTCTCAGGTTTAGTTTAGTTATGCTGACTGCAGGAATGTCCACCAGAGCTGTTGCCTGTGATCTGAATGTTCATTTCACTCCCATAAAATTTCTCAATGTTGTTTCCTGGATTTGGCAGTACATCCAACCAGCCTCACAACCGCACATCAGTAACAACGACAAACTGCTGTCATGTCACAACCCTGGTGAGGACAGTGAGCATGCAGATGAGCTTCTCTAAAAAAATTCTTCTGTTGTGCGAACCACTTGTTGCATCAGCTGTCCGGGTGGCTGGGCTTTGCAGGTGAAGATGCTGGAGGTAGAGGTCCTGAGTTGGTGTGGCTAAATGTTATAACAACCAGCTTATCTTTAAAGCCTAGTTATGAGTTAAATTCAAAAGCTACAGTGATCACTTTAACTTATTTAGAGGGGGTAGACAAAGTAAGGGCCCTGCCTTCGGCTCCCTACTGACACCAGCAGAAGAACGTACTAAGGGAAACTTAGAAGAAATGTCCAATGTCCACTTTTTAAAATGAAAAAATAGGAACCAGGAAAAAGCAAAAACAAAAAAAAGGAATCAAACTCACCCGGGTGGAATCAAGATAAGAAACAATCCAGTTCTTCTTGTTAGTTAGCTCAGTCCTTTCATGGTCTTCCACACACCCGGTCCAGGAAACACCAAAGCAAGTGTCCATTGAGGTTTAATTTTCCCGTCTCCACCACCGTTCTCTTTTCCTCTTTGGCAAACAAAATCAAAAAACCCTCCCCAAAGGCCACACCACCTGTGTGCAGCAGCACACCTGAGCCAAGTTAACGAACAGGTGGCAACGAGACTGAGCAGGGGCAAGAGAAAGACTCTGCAAGATACACTGACAGTATATTTGAAGGCTATTCTACTTTAAAACCCTCTAACAATACTGTACACGTCTCTCCTCTCACCTCTGTGGCAGTGTGATCTTGGGGCTGGTTGGATGTACTGCCACATTCACAGAAACAACATTGGAGACAGTTTATGGGAGTGAAATGAACATTCAGCTATGATATATGCCACACCTGTTATGTGGATGGATTATCTTGGAAAAGTGCTCACTAACACGGCTTTTAACAAATTTGTGACCAAAATTTGAAAAGATATATCTACTAAGAGCATAAAAAAGTCTTAGATCTTTACCTTAAACCTGTGGAAAAAATGGGCGCAAAAACAAAAGTGTAGCATTTACATTTCTGTTCAGATTAAATGTTTGTTCAAATTAATATAATTTTACTTTCCCTTCACATTTACATAAATAAATAAAATGACTTTAATTTTCATTCATCACTTTTATAGTAATTTTCACTCTTGTGCTACATCACACTGTGTGTCCTTGTATCATTTTTGTGTGCTGAATAATAAATGTCACAAAAATGTTGGCGATTAAAAAGGAATTTATTAATACACAAAATGCTCTGAACAGATTAAATGAGTCCGCTTTGACATTGAGTGCACAATTTTACTGGTTGTTTTTGTTATCAAACAATTCTCTGAAGACATTTTACATTTTAGGACTCTTTCTCAATATTCACAACACACTGCGGAGGGAAGAAAAACTCCACAAACTGAATTAGACAAAACAAACCTGTGGACGTATTGTGGTCGAGGACCAGTGGTGATAGTGTTTTATCAGTCTGTTTCACATTTCCCATATAAATCTTGTTATTAACCTTAGCCACCGCTGAGAACAACCATTTCAGTGATTAATGGCCTTCTGGGCTGAATCAATGAATCATTCCACATTACTAAACATTTTGTGCTGAACGTGCAGCAACACATATCTGAGAGGCAGGTAGCAGCCATACATACAAATACCTTCCACTACTTATTTTGGCTGCTGTTTACACAGTGTGCGTGATGAACTTTGGTTGTTCGTTTGGCCTCGACTGTGTTGCTTAAAGTGGAATTAAACAAGTAAAATAATAAAGTTCTGCAATGTGTCAAAAACAAAACGTATACTTTGTAGTTAGCTTGTAATTTTAACAGAAAGAATTAACAAAACATCTTTAATTACAGCACATACCTGCGTTTAAGACATGAATCAATGCTGTTTAAAGTCAATTTTCGTTCCAGCAACCACGAGTTGTTGACAAAGAAACCAGATGCTACCTAGCTAGCAAACTTGTTAGCAGTTTTAGTTTTTACACACACACACACACACACACACACACACACATATATATATAATATATATATGTATATGAATACACACAGACATGTAAAGGCACCGTAAATTCTCAATATGTTGACTCAGTAAATTGTCAAATGAAGACTTGGCTATTTGCTCCAGCAGCATAATTTCATTTTTAATTACACAAATGCTACAATAGAGTCCTGCTATGCTCACTACTCCACTGTACTAAGCTCATATTTTGAATTAAAAACATTAAGAGGCCAAGATGTTTAATGAGCTGCTGCTCAGCGCCTCTTCACAGTTAAAGTACTTCATCATGCCCCCTGCTGGGAGGGCTTTGGCGTGAAGCAGATGCACAAATTGAGTTTGATTTAGCAGCATAACAACACGAAATGAGGGCCTCTTATGAAAGCCTGACTTGCTAGATAAGTCTTATTAAATGACAATGCGTGTGTTAAAAAACAAAACTAAGAGAATTGAGTTTGCAAACAGCAGTGACAGCAGTTTAACGCTGCAGAGCACAGCGACGGGGGGACGGATCGGAAAACAAGGGGGTTCTATCTGTAACAGCTGCTTTCTGATAACTCTTGTCTTTTTCTGTCATTTTTCTCCAGCAGTGTTTTGTCCCCGGCTGGTACATTGTGCCTCAGGGTGTTTTTTTTCTCTCCCCCTCCCTCTGACTCTGATAAACACTCTGTCTGGCGAAGATTTAGATACCACACAAGCAAGTAAAACTCTGTTTTTAGTCGTTATTATCAGAACAAACATCAGTCACTTTAATCTGAATCAAACTGCCAGAGGGGCTGGAGTAAAGTTTGAGAATACTTTTATTCCCCAATGTGGGACTCTATGACCTCACATTAGAAATGACATATTACAGAACTACAATACAACATAATATAGTGCATTATATTGCCTACAACATGTTTTAGGCTCCACAGCTTCGGTGGTAATCAACAGCGAATACTGGAAGCAGGGAGGTCATAAGACTGTATAAGATAATGGATGTAGCTACCATGATGTCACCAATTGGTTCGGCTAATCGCCATCTTGGTTTTTTGGAGCCAGAGGTGATTGTATATGGACAAGAGGGTAGAGCTGTTCAGGGGCGAGGGGTGGATCTGACTCACAGACTGTGGTGACGCGTCACGGACAGCTTCAAACTCAAACTGCCATGCTATAATTATGCATAACTTTAAGCCCTATGAAATGTAAACAGGTGAGTTATATAAAAATCAGCCCATGTATAGTTGTCATGGATGTTGAAATGAGCAACAGAGGCCAAAACCGCACTTCAGCATTGGCTTCATTATTCAGCCCTGGAGGTTGCATTGGCTACTAGCTGCTGCTGCGTTAGCTCGTGCTAACCTGGCAGATGTTGAATGATCATTACTGAGAGTTGCTCCAAGGACTCAGTGCCATGTCACACAGCAGCAACGACTGAATGTCAGGCTGTTGCTGCGCCCCTATCAAAAACAGATCCTAATTCTGACACTGAGACACCGCCTTGACAAAACCCTGTGAAGCAGAAGCACAGAGACAGTATAGCTCCAAAACATTTAAGCTTTGGGAAAAAAAAAAAAAAAAAAATCAGTTTCACAACTTTGACCATTACTTTAGTTTTTATTATCTCTCTTGGGTGACATACACTTTTATCTGGATCTTCAAGGGTTTAAAAATATATATTAATTTCAATCGGATTATGTGAACTACACAAACCCCAATCCTCCACTGGAGCACTGTTCCTGTGGGCTATGGCAACACTAAACCCCTGAGCTTGCCTGAGAAGGACTAAATGCACCAACCCGCTATTTCTAAATATCCCATGGAAAGAGACTCTCACTGCAGCCTGTTTTATTTTGTTCTGAAAATGTCAGCGTGCAGCCTCGTTCTGTACTTCCAACTGTGTCACCGATAATGAGGAAATAGAGTGAGGGCTGGACGGAGTAGTGAGTGACAACAGCTACATGAAAGAGTACTGTTTGCGGTGGATCTCTAGGGTCTAGGTACCATGACTGAAGGGTTACTTTTGGTTCCAAAGGTACCATACCGAAAGTGTTTGGTGGAAACGTGGCTTAGCAGGGGAATGACCAAAACTGGGGACAGTACGGAACGGTTCAATTGGTACCATCCACAACTTTTCACATTGGAAACGGAAACTGTTCGAGTCCCCGTCCGGACCAAATATGGAGCGTGGACTGGTGGCTGGAGAGGTGCCAATTCACCTCCTGGGCACTGCTGAGGTGCCCTTGAGCAAGGCACCAAACCCCCCAAACCGCTCGGGGCACCTGACCAAGGCAGCCCCCTCTCACTCTCTCACATCTCTCCACTTTGTCCATGTATAGGTCATGTTTGTGCATGTGTGTGTCTTTCGGACCTGTGTGTTAATGACAACAGAGTGGAAAAAAAGATTGAATTTCCCCTCAGGGGGATTAATAAAGTATATAAAATTAAAAAAATAATAATAATAAAAAATAATAATAATAATAATAATACAGACCTCAACTGTACCGTACCATACTGCTTGGTTGAAATGGGGCTTAATTGAGAATTTACAGTATTTACTTTACACACATGCATGACTGCTTTTTTAGCCCTTATCATTACTGTCGTTCGCTGACTGTGCTTCATATAAAACATTAGCATCATACCTATAATTATGGTAATGAATACTGTCCTAAGGTCCACTGCTATGACAGCTGCTAGTTATTCATAAAGATAAATTAAGACTTCCTGAGTTATCGAGTGTTAAGGCTTGGACATTCTGAATTAGTTTGATTTGTCTCTATTGTCTAAAAAGAGAGCAAAGATTGTTTAGTTTAGTTTCTATTTCTAAAACTAAAGATTGATCATGTGCTATTATTTTAGTCCTTAAAATTAATCCAGAAGAGGCGCAGGCTTTATCAGAGTTAGCTAGATTGTGTTAGGGTCTTCTTCAGTTTACCCAGGATTACTGGCAACACTTATTTGATTAGTGAAGATAACACAATAGGTTTACCTCTTGATTTTGTTTACACAATAACGCTACTCACATGAGCGCATTCACAAGAGAACAGTGTTACTCTCACACACAGAGCTTCACAACAAAACATTCATACCAGATTAAAATCAGCACCTCTTTTATATCTTGATACAGATTTCAGACCATCTACAAAAACTCCATCTCATTAGCTCCAGTTCACAGATATAATCACAGACATAATCTTTATAAAATTATTATTACATTAAAGATGCATAATTTTTTGACGAAGTAGTTCAGACTAAAACAGCTGCATCTGCATGTAAAAAAAATCACAGTTGCACCTCTCTCAGCCTGATTCTCCAACCAGAGTGTGTTTTCTTCAGTTTTCACTTGTGGTCCCTCTCAGGCGTAGATGCCCTTGACGCGTTTATTCTCAGGGTCAAATGGAGATTTGAGGTGGGCCTTGGCCTTGTACGGCACTCCCATCCTCTCCAGGGTGAACTCGCCGCTCTTTATGAAATCGGCACTCACCTGATAACGAAAAGGAAGGGAGAGATCAGAGCATGAACAGCCAGGAGGGAGGGGAGGGGGAATTTACATTTTGGGAGATGAGGAGACGATGGAGATTAAAACAGAGGGTGAAAATGAGATGACCAATTAATCCACACTCTTTGTGAAAATAATGTTCCCAGCTGGCGGAGCGCTCCAGAACGGACAATTTCACGGCGTTCCTATCTGACAGAGGAGAGCGGCGCAGGAGTTATAAAACGCTGAAAGCAATCCATTCACTCATGAGTCAATGTCAGCTCCCTCGTAACCCAGAGAGCTAATTTTCACTGACTGACTCCCCCTTTCTCTCCCTGCAGCTCTCCCACTGATCTGTCACTCTTGCCCTCTTTCATTCACGCACAAACGCAGAAATCTCTCTCATCGCCACTTAGTTTTTACTACTTTCATGTTGAGGGAAGTATAGGGAACAATATTGTGATCAAAGGCTCCATCGTACCAACGACCTTACTCAGGGACAAAGCTGCCTTTATTCCATCTTAAAATACCTGCAGCCGTGTGACTTTACAGCAGAGGTACACCAGGAATGACGCCGATGCCCTTGTCTCGGTTTAAATGGACAAGTGTACTGCTGCATTCAAATGGGGTTGTGTTTACATCCCACATGTACGCGCCCCCTCTTGTTGTATACATGACCTCAGAGGTGGAATTTATCTGAAAGCTCCCAGTTACCAGTTGTGACGCATTTGCTGACGTTTTCAGAACGACAAATACTTTCACATAAAAGTGTCTGTCATTCCTCTTCCTGTAAAACATTACGGTAGTTTTGATGACTCATCTTGAACGTCATGATATAAAACTGCACTTGATCGTTAACTTGTGTGTGGTTACAGCTTGCACAGCAAGATTGTAAGAAGAGGTGTGTGTTTGATTATCGGGTTACAAGGGCTGCCCCCTGATAGTCGATCAGTCAACCAGAAAGTTCATTAGTCGGCAAGATTTCATTGGTCGCTTTGTCACAGGAAACTAAAATAAAAGTGAAACTCTATTAGGAGCTGTGGCTTGTCAAAATTAATTGAAACCTTAATTTGAAAGGACAGACACTCACACTACAAACCAATCACAGCTGACAGATATCTTTCCCTTCCTCCGTAAATATCAGTCTGTGATAAATTTGGAAAAGATGAATAGTTTAGTGCGGGGCTACCCAGAGCTTTACATCTGTCCCATGGACGATAGGCCTACACACTTACAAACAGCACATGGAAGAAGACCAACTCTGCACTCAGCTTGTTAAGGTTGTTTAGCAACTTTAGAAGCAACCTGTTGCCGCGCTTTTGAAAGCTGACACAAAAAAGGCACAAGAGTAGCAGCCAGCGCCTGACCTCGCATTTTCCAGGCGGTTAAAGACACGGCGTGTGTATAGCCCTTAATTTCCAAGGCTGGTACCTGCGGTTATTCCACAGGCTAGTTAATAACATGTCGGGCAGGAAATCCAAAGTGTGGGATCATTTTGAGAAGGTGAAGGATGAACCCAAGGTGATATGTAAACTCATCTTAATTGGTCGACTACAAACATGATGTATCATCTGAAACATGGAAGTAGCTACATGGACAATCATTCCTGCTTTGCCGACAGCACCATTAACAGGCGGCTCGCTCAGTGTGTGACGTGCACTTGTAGATAAAATATAAGCCTCCAATGAACGAGCTATCCAATAAAATATTAGGAACCTATTTAAATCTCTCTTTCACTTATACCCTGCCCACATTTCCCACTTCACTCGGACATTGCACATAACAGAAGTTAAAGATGCTTTAACCGCTGTTTCGAATCTGCTCAATTTACCATCTCGCCCATTGTCATTTGATGGTGTGGTACACTCAAGCTTAATGGTATAACCACTTTTTTTCAGGGAACACTGAGTTCATTCACCCGTCAAACCACTGATGCATGTACAGTACTCGGTCTGACAGCCAATGAAATTGGGGGATCCATTTAATGGTGTGCCCATTTCCTTAGTTATCACTATACCACAGAGCAGTGAAACGCTGAACTGAAAAGGAAACATAAGAAGAAAAGAACAGAAAGAAACGGAGAGCGATCAAGCATACAGAGGAGCGCCGACACTTTCAGGAGAGAAGACACTTCTCTCTGTCAGACACACACAGACTCACACACACACACACACACACACACACACACACTTCGGTAGAAGTCAGTGATGTGATTGTAGGGGATGTGCTCTGTAATACTAAGTGACAGGAGACCAGATCCCTCAGACCTGTGTGTGTGTGTGTGTGTGTGTGTGTGTGTGCACATGTCCGCATTTGAGTAAGTGCATTTCCGAACTGAAGTCAAGGGTCAATCCACTTTGTTCTGTTTTGCTGGTCACGACTCGTGGAGATATATTAAACAAATGAGCACACGCAAACACAAACACGAGGGCACACACACTATCACACACACACACACACTAAATGGACACACAGTGCGTGTGTCTACTGAGCGCACACTCACAGATACAGATCTCAATACTCTGACAAATCACAGAAGGACTGCTCTATTTTTTTCTGGATTAAAAAATGCACTCTGCCTTTGAACAAACTGCTCCAACCAATAAGTTTTTCTGTCTCTCTCGCTGCTTCCCTCCTTCTGTTTGATGCTCCATCTGTTATTCTGTGTGCGTCTGTATTATTGTCAAGAGAGAAACACACACACACACACACACACACACACACACAAAACTGTACGCTGGCCAATAAAACTTATTATTCAGTCGAAGTGGGACCTGACCGACAGCCTGAGGCTACGATTGATAATACCTTAAGAAATACATAAATAAAGAGAGACTGATGCACCTACCGGCTCACATCCTTATATGCAACTACACAAATAAAGTACTTTGGTTTCATTCTGAGCATTTGGAAGATGAGATATGGTGGGCTGATGTAAAATAATATGAAAGTCGTCTATATGTAGTGGACTCACATGGGCAGATGCACAAATTACAAAAATAATATAAAAAATGTATTAAATATAAATTAATTAGAAAAAGATATTTCAAGATATTTTCTTAGTGCCAACACAGCAATCAGTCTGTGGGGTAATCTCACCATTCTGGCAAAACATTTTCTTAATTTAAAGGACCTCTATATGACATTCAGGGCCTATATATGATTCAGAGGTCTTTACATTTATATTAATTTTAATTAAATTAATTAATTTAATTTTACAATCTTTTTGAAAACACAAACTTAAGGTACTGACACAGTTACATTTTACTGAAAATGTATTGATTGCACTGTGACAAATAATTTGACTGAATTGAGATTGTACACAGCTCTCAACGTGGAAGATGCTGAGCCTGTGGCTGGAATCTCTACTGGAAAAGAGAAGCTCAGATTACAACACACACAGGGCAGTGTTTGGCTCATTACTCTAAAAATGTAATAAATTATTCATTAATTATTAGTCTTTTCAAAAGTAATAGTAATAGTATTACTTTGCTTATTACTCCCTGCCAACAGTAATTCATTACACTATTAATTTATTACTTTTCCGTTACACCCCATAAAATAGGTAGTTACATATCTCCCCAAAATTCAGATGTGTGCTTCTGAATGTCAGGGTAATTGCCAGTAAGTGTAGCTAAGGCTAAATAGCGTTCAAATGATATTTTTATTTTCTATTTTTTTCCCGGGGGTCTTCAGTTGCCTGCGACTGGTATTTTCCCCACGGCTCTGCCTCAAAGACAGAGTCGCTCGTGGAGCAACATTTCATCCACAACATATCCAGCCACAAGCTTTATTACTTATTTGTATCCTGCAGCTGCTCACGATTAAAATCCAGTTTTGGTTGTTTGGGGACGTGTTTTGCGCAGTGGAACGAGTTTTAGTGCGACTGCCTGCAGCAACTGTGTTCTTGTCATTTGTCCTTTTTCTTCCCGACAAAATCAAAGTAATGGGAATATTTCCAGCTGCCAAACTAGCTTGCTGCTTTGTGACGTGCCCGTGCAGCGTGACAATTTCAAAAATGAGTTCGCTGATGTGATGGTTGTATTTCAAGTCAGTAGTGACATGATAGCACAAGTAAAGTTGTAATGAGTACTACTTGTGACTGGAAAACGTAATATTATTACTGTAAAGCGTTACTAGTAACACATTACAGACACAGACACACACACAGATGTAGCATGACTTCATTCTCCGCGCAGGACGCCATTACTCCACTGTATCTTTACACAGTAAAAAGTAGTTTGCTACGATATTAAAGCTCCAAATGTTGTGTAGAGCTCCTTCAAGAAAAATCAGGCAGAATGAGACAATATGACAACAGCCAGAAAAACAAAACTGATTTATAACAGAGGTTATTGATAGGGATACAGTTTGAGGATATATGTGTAAGTGTTTTGTGTTTAAGGCCTTTACCACTCCTCCATCAGGGTTGCGGATGTATCCATATGCGATGGTTTTGTCGATAAAGAACCCATAGTCAGAACGCCGTATATGACCAACAGGCGTGCCGTTACGGAAAATGGCCTCCAGACCGAACATCGGTACTTTCCTGGTTGAGAGAGAGAAAGAAAGAGAAAAACAGAGAAGTTTAACTACACTCTAACAAACACCACACATGCCCTGTGTCTTTCACACACTCACAAAATCAACTCATTTAATTCAAGTTGGACTTTTCTTCTTTAAACCCAGAGCAGATTTAATGAAATCTGTTCGTGTGCACAGAAACATGTATAGAAGTCTGTTGGCTGTAAGCTCATTAGACCAACACACTCCAACACAGCAGACTGACTCCCTCTTGCACACATCAGATCCACTTGTATATACAGACACAAGCACAACTACACACGTTCACACTAATCACGACTGTCAGGACCAAACAGAATATGCCCACTTTGATAACATATCTACCCTTAAAGAAAGCAGTGTTCTCATGGTCACTAATTGTTGTTGTTGTTGTTGTTGTGTGCTTGCACCTCCAGCATGTCAACTCATCAGGATCAGAGAAAAACATTTTTTTAGTTTGACCATCGTGCAGTTTCGTGTGTGTAGTTTGATAGGCTTTCCTCGACTCATTAGGGAACGCAATCCTCTATCTGTAGATTAAACATTAATAATAACCAAAGCTCGACTTGGTGTAACTGCATCTTAGAATCGTAACTAAGTGAAATATTGTGAATGTTTTATATTTTTGGGGCAAAAATCTAATAGGAGGAGACAGAAATGTTTTCAAAGTTTCAGTTTGGTCCTGGATACTAAAAGAAATCTGGCATGGCTCATGTCTGAAATGGAAATAAGAAAGTAGGAATGAGGAAATTCAATAATAACCATATATATCAAACTGCTTCTTCACAGTGTATCTGTGGCTCAGGCACCACCGCCTCATGTCATAACGATCTTGACATGGCACTACAGTACATTTGTTTTAGAAGCGACTGAAAGAAAGACACAATTAATTTTGAACACACTTTAATCAGGGTACTGGGGAAAATACATTTTACTGAGCTCTGAGAATTAGAATATTTTTTAAATTTGTGCCTGGTGTTAAAACTCTACGTAGTTTGGCCTCTCCTGCACTGTGTGATTTTGTTTCTAATTCAATTAGATAACTTAAATTAGATCTTGAGAACATCCTCTATATGAGACTGTACTGTACCATTTTGCCGCACTGCATTTGGACAATCAGCTTTTTCTGTAAAAGCCACAAATCAGTGGAACACCCTGCCTGACGATGTGAGGAGCTGCAGCGCCATCAGCACTTTGAAAACCAACTTAAAACACTGCTCAGCTCTGTACTCACTGACCCTGAATTCTTACTTATTGTCTCCATAACTTGCTTTTGTTTTTGACAAGCAGACACTTGTGATGTGCTTTTGTGTGAGGCTTTGTGTTGTGTGTTCATAACTTTGTATTGTGCATTTACTCTGTGCTGTTTGCTATTGTGCTGTTTCTCTGTTTTGACCTTCCAATGAACTACAGAAGCAAATTAGCTTAAAGCTACATTCTGGTGCGGTGCATTAAATGGTGACATTTAAGTTTTAAATCCTATATAATGTGTGTCTATGTGTATATATATTGAACAGCTGTCTGCAGGATGCCTAGCCATGAGGTAATGCATCTTTTTGTGGCTATGTAAGATCAACTATAATATGATGACAGTGAGACACAGGAAACTTGGTTTGATGTCAATATATGAATTCATTTTCCTGTCTAAAACAATGTCTCACAATGTATTTCATAAATAAAACCTACACATTACATACCTTCCTAGGAGGAAAAGGGCTGATTCAGGATCAGTTTTGAACACTTTCAAATCCCACAATCTCTTCATCTGTTGCTGTCTGACCAAGGTTGACTCTTTTTTTTCCCCTGTGCTTTGTCACTGTCCATTTAAGCTTTTAAAATTCTTTCCTTTTTGTTGCTGAAGCTCCAACCACTAAATGTCACGACAAAATAAAATTCTCTAAAGAAAAATCTTCTCTCCTTCTTTTTAACGGACTAATGTACAACTCACTTTGACACTTTGCCTGCTTGCGGTCTGTGTGCCGTAAAATTTTTCATCTGATTTTGCAGGGGGTCGGACCCAGGGACAGGTATTACGAATAACTATAATTCTATATATGGTCTTGTTTGCTAATGTAGATCACACAGAAGCATTGATATGAAATTTAGACTGTTTCATAACTGGTTTAGCTGCTTTAAGTATTCTGTTCTCTGAGTAAGACCATTCTCTTAATTATTTTAGGTTATAGTTAGGAATTTTTTTGTGTAAGAAGTGTAGGTGGCTCCACTCCAGGAAGCTCTATTTAAAAAAAAAAAAAAAAAAAAAAGTGTCTTCTAAAATCACCTCAATGTCTACTACAATTTTCTGTTGTTGTGAGCACATTTTCATTCATTTCTTTCTGCCTAGCATATAATCTCAGGCTGTACTGACTCGTCAATGGTGAAGCAGACGATGCGCCTCTTCAGCCCCTCCTCCTTCTGCTTCTCCAGCCTATCACGGCCCTGGAACGGGATCGAGCTCTTCAGTTTGCAGGTGAAGCCTAGCCCCGACTCCAAGGGGGTGTCATCTGGGCGAAGGTCAGCGTGCCAGTGTCTGTACCCTGATAAACATAGACAGATATTAGCTTTGAGAAGCTGTTTTCTGTTTATTTTGATTACCAGGTAGTTCAAAGTAGTTTTTGTGGTAACTTATGTATTGGCTAAATTTCAGTACATCTATACCTGAGCTGGCATTGCACGCTGGGATTAGTTATCGACATTATGACCTTTTACTAAAAGTTACCTTTCTCTATGCTGAGTGAGTCAATAGCTCTGTATCCTGAGTTGATGATGCCGTGCTTTTTCCCAGCAGCCATGACAGCATGGTAGACTGGAAGGCAAGCGTCTTTGGGAATGTGCAACTCCCAGCCGAGCTCTCCGACAAACGACAGACGCATCGCTCGCACCTGGATGAGAGAGAGGGGGAGGCTTAGAGAGATGGAGAGAGGCATGTAGAGGACCAAGCTGCTGTGCCTCTGCTTGTGTTCTGTCACACACACAAGCACAAACACACACACACACTTCACCTTTAAGGGCCACATCTACTTGTCTTGCATTTTAATACAAACAGCAGCTTCTGTGTGCTGCTGCTGAAGAGAGGAAACTAAAAGGCAAGGGAACAACAGAAAAGAATAAGAATAGAGGAGATGCAAGGATAAGATAAGGCACACAAAGAGGGAAACAGGGCAACTGTAATTTCCTTTGAGAAGTGAATGTCCAAAGTGCTCTAAGTCCTTAAAGAGATTGATGGGGGTTAAGGGGTGGGAATGACAGCGGAGCGGCAGAGAAAACAGAAGAGAAACAGTGCAGGAAAGAAGGTAGAGACAAGGCCTGAGAGGCAGAAAGAGGTGAAGCGTACAAGATGACCAACAGGAAAATTGAGGTGTACGGAAGGTATTTGTCAACCTGGTTGTTATTCTCATAATTTTGTCCATTATGAATATTGGGCAAGATAACATTTTTTGGAAAATGCAGTGAGAACAGTGTTGAATGGAGCACAGCTTTCCAAAAAAACTCAATTTCATAGATATCATCTTTAAAATTGTGTCTTTGTAAACACAGAAATCCCTGGAGCTGCTGTAGTGACCTGCTCTGCTGCTGTGGAACAATCACCCACAACTAGAATCTGTCTTTCATTCAGTGAAAACTGCACTGTGTGTATCTTGTCATTTCGTTTTTGCTATTTGGAAACAGACAAAAACTACCTGCGTTTCTCTCCTATGTCTCTAGGATGCACACATCCTGACGAAACATAAAGCTACAGCCTCAAAGGCTTGAATCGAAGGCGTCACTCCAATGTAAAGAAACCGGTGTGCACATCAATATGGCAGGCAAGTCAGGCAGCAGAGTGACAAGAAGTGGGTCCACGACGCTGTGCAGTTTGCAGCAGCTACAGGGACTACTTATGTTTTTAATTAGAACAAATATAAGAAGGACTTCACTGCAGGGAAGGTGGTCTTTCATTAAATTGGTCCATGTATGCAGTGGAAAGATGCAAATACTTCAGATACAGAAAACAGAGGAAAGAGGCTGTGGCATTTGCTTTTGCTCAAGAGATAAAAAACCTACAACTACCAGGATGCACTGCGCCATACCGGACCAATAAATGCTCCCGACGATGGGTGACATAATGCAAGTTGCCCCTCTGAAATCAATATGTTGGTTAGTATGGTATTACAGTTTAACAGTATGCTAAAATATGTATCTGTGAAGAACTCCCTCCATCTCCTCTGACCGTGGCTGTCTCACGGCACTCTCCCATTCATGGTGCTCCCTATACTGACTGACCCGATGAGTGAGTCCACTTTTATTGTCTTGTTTGCCCTTGGGAACGAGGAGGCTTATAATTTTCTTTGAATCTAGTTTTACTGTTGTGTGTGGCAGTGGCACGCTGCCAGGTTTGTATGCCATGTCACCATTTCTTAATTTCCTGCATTTGTTTGTGAGGCAGGACACTCACTATGTGTTATGATTTGTTACTATTCGTGTTGCTAAGAGTAGAAAAACATTAGCAGTCATCAGAAATTGATCTGCTTTTTTCTTTGTCCAGTGAATTAATATTCACAAATATTAATTAAAGCAATTGTTGCCTATTAATGGATTTTTAGCACCTTGTTTCCGCCCTTTAAATACTACATTGTGACTGCTGTTTAATGTCATTCATTTGTGCCACTAAGGCTACATTCATGGTGCCTTTTACTTTCATCCTATATGTCAGTCAAATCAATCATTGATCATCAATACCTGTTACACCTGTTATCTGTGGACAACAATCATTTGCCTGTGCTGTTACCTCCTGCCTATATTCATTTTCAAAACAAATTTTGAACTTTAAAGCCTGGACTCTGCCTGTGTTTGTCTGAAAGTGAAGCCAGTGAGTGGGATTCAAGTTACCTAATCAAAGCAAATTGTGTTCAGTTTCTAAAAACATATTAGGTGAGAAACAGGTAATACAGTGACAGAATCTTGGTTTATATTCTTCAGATTCAGATTTTACTATACAGGAAACAGTATGGTGCCTACTTTGTGTTCACAAACTTGCGTATTACAGCCAAACAGTACACTATATGTTTCTGAAAACATTTTGGACAGGAAGTAGACAATACACTAACAGTATCTTGGTTTATAGTTGATCAGTTCGGCCTATTTTAACTGTTTAATCTGAGTTTAAGCGAGCCAGACAGAGGGGGCGCCTCTTTCTCTCGATCTGCTTCTATACTCTTTTTGTCTGTGCTGGCGACAGGCATACAAACGTAAGGGAAGTACCATCTGTAGTTTTTAGCAACAGTCTTGTGGCCAGCGAAAATCCACTGAATGACGCAAAAGAGCAGGAAGATGTGGGCACTGGAAAGATGGAGGGAAGTTAATTTCCACAGACAACCCACATTTTATGATACAGAGCTGGTTGAATTTTCTAGTATCTGTCAGGCCTTTATAGTCACACACTAGATATACTATGAGAATAACACCCATGTTGACAAATACAAGAAATGGTTAAGATGCAAAATTATATACGTGAAGGAAGCGGGAAAGCTAAAGGGAAAAAAAAAGAGAAGGAAAAGAAGCAAGTGGGAAATTGTGGAAGGGAGCGAAAAAAGAGGAGAGAAAACTCTCTCCAACAGTTTCCCCAGTGGATGCTGTGACAGCCAGGCCATCTGGCCGGCCAGGGATCACCCTGGGCCCCATATGTACGCCACGAAACTCTCAGGAGGACAGTACATGTAGGCCCACGCTTGTTCACAACACACACTCCTCCAAATACCACAAGCGACAAACTTAAACACACAGGAATACGTGCATGCCTCATGCACGCTGTCACTCAAACTTTTACCAGCCAAACATCAAACACAGACACACGGAGAGCAGACACAAGTACAAAAATGCATATAAACATGAATCCATGTGACCGAACACGCATGCCAGGACACTCGCTTCGACTGGCGAGGTGGGAAGAGAGAGAGAGAGCGAGCGAGTCTAATGAGCTATGAGGGGAGCAGAGGGCAGAGAGAGAGCTCTGTTCTCGCAGCAGTGCAGCCATTAAAATGTCACCCAGACGAGGCCAGCAACCAGCTGGAACACAGCACAAGCAACGCGCACACACACATGCACAAACACTTCTGCAGAGCTGTGAGAAGATGCTGACTGCAATCACCGGAGCGTTGCATAATTCATGCAAGAGCAACTAAGACAGAGCAAGAGCGTGTGGACATATGTGTCGCCGCATGAGCCGGTACAACATGCTCTTTTTGAGCCAAGGCCAGGAACAGTGTGGAGGTCAAACCGAGAGGCCGAGGCTCCATTACCTCATATTGTTTAAAAACTGAATAAAAAATACAGCGAAAATACATGATTTCCCCCAGTGCTGGTAAACAACAGCATGTTGAGTTTGTTTTGAGATGTTAGATCTCAGGGACAGAAGGAGAAAGCAATAGAAGTCGGACAGAGGTAAAGAAAAACAAATAGGTGCGGACAGACTTGATATTGAAGTCACAAGGACGCCTTGTTGAGACATTCCATCTGTCTCACACACACACACACACACACACACACACACACACACACGGAGTCTACAATTGCTGTTGACTAAACCTTTGAAACAGTAAACCAGTGTCACTCAGCAGTGTCATTTTCATATAAGTATTATTTAATTTACTCATTTTTTATTTAACTAGCACTGACAAGCTTATTTTGAAGCTGAAAAATGTACCACATCCAATTACTGTAGAAATGAGTTGAGGCACTGGGTGTGTGGGTGTGTGTGTGTGCAGTAGTCGGTGTTACTGATATTACACGGTGTTACACGGTGTTTGGGCATACAGGGATTATATAACCTTGCTTTTTTATCAATACTTAGTCGGACATCGGATGCCACAGCAGCAGCGGCAGAGTCGGAGCCATGGATGTAAAGAGAACTAGACACAGCATTGAAGTTGGCCCCCATTCAATTCTGTGAAAGTTGCTCAGTGGCGCATGAAGTCAAAAAAGCTTGATTTCTGCGGCATGAAATTACCTTCAACTTCCACACTGTGGGCCTCATAAAGCAAGCATACTAGGGACTTACAGCAGTCGAGCCCAGCAGAGCAGCTAACTTGAATGGGGATAAACATGATTTAATAGTGCCTTCTTTCCAGACTTTAGAAATGTTTTTGGACTGAATGGATAAAACTCTGATACTGAAACAAGTCATTTTGCAGGGGTTGTGACTTTCAAAAAATGGATCAACTAATTTACAGATGTCAATAGGAAAAAGTGGGGCCAGATGGCATCATGGACCGACACTAGGGGTGAGCAATATGGCCCTAAAATAATATCACAATATTTACTTTTACACTTTTGTACAATAGTACTTTTGCAATAACAATATTCTTGACAATATGACAAATTAGTTACAAAAAATATATATACATATGGGGCCCCTGAATGAGTTCCCTCTGCAGGGAAGGTAACTCGTAAGTCGCTAAAACAGTTCACAAAGTCGGGGGCTGTTCATAAAACATTCAGGACGCCACAGTTCATTCCACACTACTGAAGCTGCTCGTCTGTTTGGAACCACTTTCAGCCGTGCTTGTTGTTGCCATGGGTAACAGTATGACGTCAATATGTCAACAAGTCTAAATATCGTGAGTATCCCATTATAAATATTCATATTAAAAATTATATCGGTATTATTGTGAATAAGATAAACAAGATATGGCCCACCTAAATTCCACATTTGACCACTATGTCCTGAGAGCTTGGTCGCAGCATAGAGTAGCAGGAGTCAGATTTCATTTAGGAGAGGAGGAGAAAAAACCATCAAGACAATGGCAGAGGATGTGGTGTTAAAAGCAAACGACAAAAGTGCCCATCTGGCAATATTTCAGATTTAGATTTAGATTAGATTAGAGAATATTTTAGATTTATTTCAGAGGTGTGCGGCCTGTCTCCTGCAGCTCTCTGTGGATGCTCCTTCTTGTTCCATTATTCTCTGCAGTATTTCAAATTGATCCGCTGTCAACAAAACTAGCAGTAGTGCTAATGTGACTGACAAACACATTTACTGTGACAGTTTAATAAGAAAAGTCAATTTGTGTTTCGCCAATTAAATACTTTTAATGTGAAGCTGCAGCCGTTGGAAATGTTCAGTTTAAATTAGCAGTGACTCAACACAGCACTCGACAGGTACTGGGTATTATTGATAAATATCTTTTCTTGGAAAATGTCTGGTGTAATTGGTAACACTAGTGCCTGTGTGTGTGTGTGTGTGTGTGTGTGTGTTCTTACCTGATGCCCGACTGCATTAACAACTTTGTGGGAAGAGAAGGGGAAAGCTTCGTTGCTCAGGTCTGTGTCCAACACCTCCTGAAGCACCTCTCGACTGCACATGAGAGAAAACACAATGTTCAATGGTCAGTGCATTTTACTGTACATTTGCACCTGTGCAGCTGGTGTCATTAAAGATACTTAATCAATACATTTGTTGATGCTTAAATGATCCTATTTATTTATCTAAATATGTCAAGAAAACATTACTATAAAAACACAGGAGTGTGTTGCCGAAGAAATGTACCACCTCTTCTTCTCCCACAAACACACACACACTAAGAATCAATATTACATAAAGATGAGTCAACAGAAAAAAGGACTAAGTTTAGCTTACTTTGCTACTTGTGTGTTTGTGAGTGGGCAGGTAGAGGCCTTTTCTGGGAGATATTTTTGCAACAGTGTGGCAGGAAGCCAGGGTTGATGATATTTGGGAAAGGGGGTTCAGGTTACGTTTGTGTGTGCTCTTCATGTTTGTGCATCTGTGTGGGTGTTCCTTTTTTCTCTAGAAAGCAATCGATGTGGTCATAGTTGGATGCAGGAATGTGTGTATGCGACTGTGGCTATAAGTGAATAGAACATTTCCTTGCGTATACTGTATGCATGAATGTGTTTGTGTGATGCACAGGCTGATATTTTCTCCAGGCTGTCCTCCCTTTGGCAACGCTTTGTTCACTGAACTCTCAAGACCGAGAGCAAGGCCAATTAGCTATATATAATCAGTGAATGGCTCCGTGTGTGTGTGTGTGTGTGTGTGTGTGTGTGTGTGTGTGTGGCGAGGGAGTCTTGCAACCACCAATTTGTTTCTCTGTCTTACCACTTAACTGTGGCTCTCAGCTGTGAATCAGAGGATGCATGCATACACACACAAACACACAGAGCTCTCTCGCAGGATATCACGTAATTTCATATATTATAAATAAGGTTTGTAATTACAAAGCAAACGATCAAGCGCCAGTTTCACCCTTCGGAGTGCGCTGCCAAGCTGCGTGAGCGAAAAAGCTGCACATCTAGAGACTCCCTCCTCTCCGGGGAGTTGGAATCAGACATCTCCGCAGCTCCGTAAACGCTGTAATTTTCCGTCTCCTCAAACTTTAAAGAGATCAATTTGCTTCGTAAGAAAACAAACATCGGAGGGTCTATATTCTGCGATTTCTCATATGTGCCGAAAACAATAAGGTGGAGTACAGCTGTGCAGAGAGAGAGGAGATACAGATGCTAATCTTGTTTATATTACTGACATGCATGCATGGAAACATCGACTGATGCAAATACAAACACTCACAAGCTGAGTACGCTTTGGATGCTCAAGAAAACTTAATGAGCTCCAATCAACATCCTTTAATGCATATGTGTGTGTGTGTGTGTGTGTGTGTGTGTGTATATATAAAAAAAACACACACACACATATGTATTTGGCTAATGCTGCTAGTGACGCACTGATTTCTGGTTTGATGTAAGCAATCAAAGCATGAGCGGTAGAAAATTTGAAAAGGGGAAGAGGACACAGAATAGGCGAGCAAAGACAGGGGAGGAGGAGGAGGATTGAGGAAGATCTACAGACACATGAGGACTGAGAGAAAAGAAACTTGGGAGAACAGAAGACGAGAAAAAGCCTCAAGGAGAAGAAATCGACACAGCCCACACAGAGAACAGAGTGGCCTAACCCTGCTGCTGGTGAGAGGGAAGAACAAAGACGTGGGGCGGTGGGGTGGGGAGGAGAGGAGGTGAGAGGGGATAGAAAAGATAGATGAGGAGTTCAGGGAATGAGATCAGGGAGAGGTAAAAAGGTGGCACCGCTCGCTCTGCGAGTGAAAAAAGGAGAACGGCAGGAGGCAAGAAGAACACAACAAGAATGGACTACATCTCATGTCTGAATGTGCAGTACAATTTGCACCTGTGCACACATTTTCTCATCCTGAGATGAAGAAATCCATGGATGGTGGTTCCAACAGATGTGTGTTACACTGGAGTACTTGGACAGGTTCGGTTAAGGTTTCAGTCACTGTAATTTTCTGTCTGCTATGAGGTTTTATTCGTCCTGACAACATGTAAACTTAATCTTTTTGTTAATAGTTACCACAAAATCGACTGAAATCTGAGCCCAAACAATCACTGCAGCACCGATCTGCCACAACAGCTTTGGTGTCTGGTCTATTTTCTATATCATTTTAGCAGTAGCAGAGTATCCCTGCTAAATGAGCAGGCACACATACACACCAGGGGTCTCATTTATGAAACAATAAGTAGGATCCATACTAAAAATGTACATACAGACAAGAGCAAAAAATGGTGTGTGGCAAAAAATATTTGACAATTTCTACCATCAGGCTTCCATCTCACCATCTGTGTCGCCAATTTTCCGTCTCCAAAATGTTCGTAAGCATGGGTCAAAGTGTCTCCCATCAAATCTGTTTTTATGGATCACAATTGTTGCGTGGGAAGTGGCGTACGCCTCTTTCAGGCCTTGTTTTGTGTATATGCAATGTTTATAAATGAGATCCCAGGACACACACAGACACAAAAGCTGGAAAGCTGTACTGGAACATATATTATATGAGTCCAGACATAACAGCTCATGCCCATGGACCTCTAACCCAAGGTGTAAACTGTTGTTGAGACACAGAGCACAACAGTTCTTAGTAATCTTTATCATTATCACTCACACAGGTGAAAAATAGATTTTAATTTACTTTGCAGGGTTCAGAGCATCACGAGACAGCCAATGGCGACTTTAAAGTGCAGCATTAGTCTCTAACCTCCCCGCTTCCGTCTCTTGTGTTCAATCAACCTCCGTCCCTGCACTCTCTCACCTCTCATGCCTATGGCCAAGTCCTGAAAATAGGCACTTAACCTGCTCTCCTCTTATCGATCCAACAGCTTGTCTTTTCAGTTTCCCCACCTCTTGTGTCCAGGTTGTGAATCATAACCCATCTTTAGACCAATCAGTCACCTTTCTCTTTTTTCCCTCCTCTCCACTGCTTCTTGCCCTTGCTCACTCCTTTTGTCCTTTTCCTCACCTGGATTTATAAATCATGGTATTGTCTCTGTTCATTCATAGCCCTCCCCTTTTCCTCCTCCTTTTCTTTTCCCACCTCTTGGGTCCCTGGATGCTGATCATCCCCATGTCCTCAGAGTGGTCTGTCAGCTGGCAGTGGAAGCCTTGGTCCTGAAGAACTGTTCTAATGTGGTTCCAGTTGTGTTCTGCTACACCGCCTCCAATGGCCAGGTAGTATGCATCACCTGGAGCAAAGGCGGGACCGGAAAGAAAGAAATAATGATTAAGCGGAGTATGGTAAATGGTAAATGGACCTGCGTTTGTATAGCGCCTTTGTAGTCATCTAACCGTTCAAAGCGCTTTTTACACTACGAGTCACATTGACCTATTCACACACACATTCATACGCTGGTGGCCGAGGCTACCATACATGGTGCCACCTGCTACTCAGTTTTTAACACACTCACACACAGATGGAACAGCCATTGGGAGCAGTTTGGGGTTCAGTATCTTGCTCAAGGATACTTCGGGGATCCAACCCCTGATCTTTAGATTGGTGGACGACCCGCTCTACCTCTGAGCCACAGCTGGCACTCGGCTTGTGGTGTTCAAAGCATCAAAAAATACATTTGAAAAGCTCAACAGCAATGTCTCAGGGGCCATAGTTCTCTGCCGCAGACCAGTAGTTTGTCCCCTTCAGGTTGGGACAGAGTTACTGCCTGAAGCAAGGGAGTTGAACTGTCTCAGGGTCTTGTTCACGAGTGAGGGTAAAATGGAGAGTGAGATGGATCGGTGGCTTGGTGCGACTTCTGCAGTGATGCGGGCGCTGTGCTGGACCCTCATGGTGAAGAGGGAGCTGAGCCAGAAGGCAAAGCTTTTGATTTACTGGTCCATCTACGTCCAAGCACTCACCTATGGTCATGAGCTCTGGGTAGTGAACAAAAGAATGAGACCACGGATACAAGTGGCCGAAATGAGTTTCCTCCGTGGAGTGGCTGGGCTCAGACAAGGTAAGGAGCTCGGACATCTGGAGGGAGCTCAGAGTAGAGCTGCTGCTTCTTTGCGTCGAAAGAGGTCAGTTGAGGTGGTTCGGGCATCTGATCAGGATGCCTCCTGGGCACCTCCTGTTGGAGGTGTTTTGGGCATGTCCCACTGGCCCCGGGGTAGACCCAGAACACGCTGGAGGGATTACATATATAGCAACACGTTCCGGCTCCTCCTGGAGGACCCCAAGGTGTTCCCAGGCGGAGCTGGAACGTATTGCTGAGGGAAGGGACATGGGTGCTTTGCTTGGCCTGCTGCCCCCGTGACCCAGCACCGGATAAGCAGATGAAAATGGATGGATGGATAGAAATCACCTTTCTGGTTATTCAAGATAATCTAAAGGGTTTGTTGTGAACAGTTTCATGTAGGAACTATTTCACTGCGCAGAAGAAAGCGTGCATTAATTTCTTTATTAATCGCATCTTCTTTGGCCAAGCTGTAACATTAGCTAGCTCAGTGGTGCCAGATGAGCTAGCAGTAAATGCACATCTCCTTCTGCTTAATGATATGGCTGTTGGGTGTAGTTCAGTCGAAAGAAAAAAGTTCCTACATGAAACTGCTCACAACAAGGTCTGTGGATTATCTTGAGTAACCGGGTCAGGATTTCTAGAAAGAGACATTGTTGTTGAGTTTTTACAAACATATTTTTTGGCACCATGAGCACCACAAGCCGAGTGCCATCTAGTTCCATTATACTGGAGTGAAGGCAGACATCTCTACGGCTAATATCTCCAACACTCTGCAACTCACACCAAAACAATCTAGACTGGTAAACAGCACTACAGGTAAGAGGGAAAATATGTATTTTTGGGCAGAAGAATATAATGATAGAAACAGCAGATATACAGTATTGATAGATACTGAGAGACAGAACAATAAATAGAACAAAGCAAAAGAACAATGAATCCAAAAAAAGACACAACACAATGACAGATTTATCCAGCAACAGATAAAACACAACAGTTAAAGTGACAAAACACAACAGTGATGGAATAAGAGAGAGAAGCGTGGAATAAAAGCGAGGGCAATGGATATAACAGCGCGGCAGATAAATATAGAAAACAACACAAACACACTCGGTTTCTCACCATTGGACTGTGGTGCCAGGGGCAGGTTGGCAGCACCAGGCTCCAGTCTGCTCACTGTCAGGTCAGCCTCTGCCCCTCCTCTCTTATTCAGCATGCAGGTATACACAGTGGAGCCTGAAACACACACACAAACAATTAATTCCCGTGGCAGACTTTGTAGGCCAATTTAACGTGTGCAGTCTCTTGGAACCATGCCGACGGAAATCTCAAAATAAAAAACGAACCCGAATTCGAGGTCAGTCTTCTGTTTGTAACTGCGTCTTTGTGAGTAATCCAGTTGTAAGCTTTTGTGTGGCTGTGTAAGTGCTTTCCTGCCCCTTTGTGTGTGAATAAGAATAGATTGATTTTTTAATCAACTCAAGTGTACTTATAGTTCTTTCACAACTTGCTAATAATTACATATGTGTGCCTCAAGGGACACACGTGCCCTGATGACATGAACTTTGTCTTTTTGTTAAATAGTTCCCAAGGAAACAACTGAAATGTGAACCTCGTCAAAGCTGAGAACATCTCTCGCCACACATATTCATAATAGGAACATCATCAAAAATAATTTCCTAATGACTGAAGTCTGTATCTAATTAAAAGAGACAAAATCTCCCCGTCATCCGTTGTGCCAAAGGAGCTGGTGGCTGCAGAGACATGCTAATCGCGGCTGTCCCTCAGTCACCTCTCATTTGAATGAATGATTGATGTCACCGTTTCGTTCTGTCACTGGTATTAAAGGAAAGGGTGTGTAAATGTGTTGGTGAGGCATAAGTCAGGCCTGCAGAGACATTAAATATTCTCGGAGAAAGTGTGACCACTGTAACTGCTGTAAGTGAGAACTGGGGGCAAGAGGGAGGAAGAGAGTGACGGACAAAGAGACTGAGTTAGCAAGGTTGGATGATGATGTGTCCGCTCGAAAACATTTTGGGAAACTATCTTGGTAGATGGGGTGAGAGCTGGTTGTCATCATGAGTGCAGGATCATAAAGTGAAAATAGATGTTAGCACAAGAAGTCAAACAGCAGCTGTGCCAGCTTAAAGGATTATTCCAGCAATTTTATGTTACACTTTAATTACAGTAGCTTCTTCAAGTTGATACAGCAGAGGGTGGGATATCCTAACCTCTTTAGCATTCCCTAGCAGTCCTATGTAGGGACTGGGTCTTACATCCAAACACTACAACCTTTATGCATATCTTTTATATGTGTTTGAATCCCCCTTAGCTCTATATAGTATGTACAAATGGCTGTATATAAAGACTATTTGTGACATTCCAATTTTTCTATTTATACAAACAGTTATAAACATTTGACTTTCTTATATGCTTTTTAATGACTCCCTGGCCCCTAATGTCTTGTAAACCAGCAAGGCTGAACAACAGCAACAGTGCCAACAGAGCTAACTGTGTTAACCAGGAGAGAACCGAAGGGTGGGCGAGACCGTCCTGATATCCACTGTAACCACTGAATGAGCCAGGGCATTGCAGGCAATGGAGTTGCGCTGGGGCCCATGGGGGGACTGGGGGCTGTAGAGAGAGTGGTAGGAGGGCCCGCGCTCTTTGGAGCAGAGAACAGGCCCTTACGAGTGATTCAACTTGCCACCTCAAAAACACGCCTGTGTTCAAAGAAGAACACACATTAAAACACACATGCTGTTGTCTGCTATATACACCTTCGAGAAGGCAAACCCATCTACTTCTATGTCTTTTTTTTTCTTTTGTGAAATAGTAGAAACCTACAACAAAATATATATGTTCATTTTACATAAACTATATGAATTATATATATATATCTATATCATGTGACTGTACTATGAGGTATGAGCGCAGTACAAAGCAGCAGCAATGAGTTAGCCAGTGGGATACACACGTACTGACATGGATGCACGTCTGGACGAGTTTACTGCAAAAACCACAGGAAAATTAGGATTAAAACACACACAGAGTGTGATGTCCATAGCCCCACAAGGTAATGTTGTCCCAGTTCACATTCTGCAAACTCATTAGTTTGTTACCAACACAGGTTAATTTAATCTACAGTCAACCATACCTAAACAATTAACATCACAACAGTTGGTTTGGGCTCTCTTTATTAATCTCTTTATTTGCTTTTAACCTTACATTGTCTAATTGATGTGCACACATTCTAACATTGTCAGGTTGTGTCTTTGTCTTTGAGATACTGTGGTTGTGTAAGGAGACCCCTTCCTGGTGGAGCAAAAGGTGTGACTGAGGGCTGAAGACTCTTAAATCGTGGTGCCAACTCAATGGTACAAACCATGTTTAAATTAGTCTTTGCTAGTTTTATTGTATTCTTTGCAACTTATTCATTGTAAGTTTGTGTAAGATTCCTCTGATGTATCCTTGCAGGTCTATTCATATTTATGTGTTTTCATTTTCCTTGTAAAAAGGATGTCTTGATACATATGAATGTGATTAGATGATTATAATATCACTGGTCATTTTACTATATATACATATCCATCCATATCCATCATTTCATTCCAATGGGTATTTGCCTGAGGAAGACCTGTAGTTGGTCGAGACGTTGCTGATAAAATTAAAGGAGCTCTTCTTCCAGTGTACAGGTACTCTTTAAATCCTGACTTGCAACAGCTCTTACATTTCCCATGATGCAACAAATAGTATATTTCATTAGACCCTCCGTACCTTGTTAATGTCCATACACCTCAAATTTAGTAACAACAGACATTATACAACTGTTTTTACAAGCTGAGATGCTTTCAGTGTTCATCTTCAGATGGTAGTATCACATCAAAATCAGACACTTTCCAGCCCAACACAAACGCTCCTTTCACACATGAACATTTCCCACTTTGGGTTATGTGTTAATGGAAGCATGGATTAATAATTCATGGAAATCTATACCACCAATTTCCCACCACAGCACATCTGTGTTGTGAATTAAAGCAGTAACATCGCAGGGACAAGCACTAAAAGTGTTTCTTCTGACCAAAGGTGCTTTCACGTGATGCGAACGAACCACACAAGACTCTGCTGATGACGTGTTTATGGTTTAGCAACTTGTTGAATATTAAGTACATTACAAAAAAATTGGTGACACACGAACACAGCTCTTTGTCTGAAGAGATGTCTTCTGCTGTGTTACACTAACATCCAGCCTAGCCCCAGCTTCTTCTTCTGCTGTTTTATGACAGTTGTCATCCATAAGTGTTGCATTACCGCCATCTGCTGGACTACCCCTTGCCCCATCTATTCCAGTTTTGCCATGGCATGTGTGAAAAGGCTTAAGATGGAAATGTTCCTGACTGAAGTGCATGTGTGAATAGTAAAAATCACTGGCAATGCCGTAGAGGTTATCCCAGTGACTTACTGGGAATCATGTGTGAAAGAGGCTCAAGAGGCTTAAACTTAAAAGATGTATCAGTCTCTGCATTCTTTCAGAAGTTGATGCCAGTTTCTGAAGGCGTACTGCTGTCAACCCAGAGGCAATCTATCCTGTTCAGCAGTGAGAGCAGACTGTGAATGAAGTGGGAAGTGTGAGGACAGTGGAGGAAAAAAGCATATCCAGAGCATTTGGAGCTCTGCCCATTTTCACATCTGTATTCACCTGTCACCACAGAAAGCAGGCACAGCTGTCAGCTTGCCGATTTTGAAAAGTTCCAACTAAAAAACCCCTCTGTGAGACTATGTACTGGCACTGAGCACCAGTGATATTTGGATCTTGTGGAACAGTGGACTGTTTTGCTCTCGTGCTGGCATCTTGTTTAGTCTCCTTAACTGCCCTCTTCATTCTGTCAATCTTCTCTCCCATCTGTCTGTGCATTTGTGTGTGTCATTTGTGTGTGTGTATATGTGCGTGTTCTTGCTGCAACACACTGACCTGGCTTCTTGTTGACATCAGCAGTGAACAGCCAATCAGCCGCCTTCTTGGCATCTGGTCCGGTGAGATAGAACTTTCCAAAGTAGGACATGTCAAACACTGCCACACCGTGTCTACATGAGAGGCACTCACTCTTTATCTGCATATAAAAAACACACACACACACACACACACACACACACACACACACACACACACACACATCCAATTAGCATAAAGCTCGACATTAAATAAAAGAGTCCTCCTCTCTTTGCCAAACATGACATTTCTGAGATGACTGTTCATATTTGGAGCCAGGTCCTTGAAGGCAACATTCATCACAACTGTGAAATTAAAGGGAAAACCCATTGAGAGGTTTTGACGTCAAGGTTGGTAATTCTCCCCTTGTGATCTGTCCTCTGAGCTGCTGTACTTGTTGGATACGCACTTTATGCACCATAAACATCACTAACTGTTCTCTCATCACTGTCAGATGTCCATGATCGTCATTTCCCATGAGGACACATGTTCCCTGTCCTCACGGGAGCCTTCAGAGAGCGCTCACACTCATCTGGCGACCCTGAGCTTTTTTGGCCCATGTAATTTATTAACATTGTTCTACTGAAAAACACGCATTCACACACACTCAAATACACACATGCTTGGTGTCTTACCACGTCATGATGCGGAGGGAAGTCAAAGGTGTACTCCTTTCCCAGCAATTCGTTGTACTTGTAGTTCACATTCCTCTTAATGTCATACGCCCCGTAGTAATCATAGTCTTTAAGCTGTGCAATGATACAGACAAATAAATCGTCAGAGGTTAATTAATCATCACTGTTTCCACATGCGGAGAAGGACAAAGCATTTGCCCAGTCACTGTCAGCGTCAGTGTTGCCCATTAGAGGCAGTCAGTCTGCAAGCCAGCAAGCAAGTGATCACATTTGCATCTTAATTGTTTATGTCTTTCCAAGTGCCTGCTGTCAATATGTGGCTAAAATCATTAGCATGCAAGTGCTTGGTATACATGTGGAGTGTCTCACAGGTGCAGGCCCGTCTTTGTTGAACCAGCCAGGTCTCTCCCAGCCATGTCTCTCCTGGAATACGCAGCCCTGCTCCGTCAGCACCTGAGACAAACAGAGAGGGGTAAAATCAGGACAGAAATACACTCAGCTGAGACTGTTTACTATTTAGTGTTTACTTTGGAAAGTCAGAAGCCAAATCTGGAGGTATTGGATTTTTTTAAAGCATATGTTCACAAAATTGTATAGTATTAGTGAATGTAGTAAATTTATTCTCACAGTCAGCAACTTCACATTTCATATTGACAGAACTGAACACATCACTTGCCAGAGAAACCACAGCTGCCGAGTCTTGTTCAAGGGCATTTTGACTGCTGTATTTAAGCAGTACTAAATTAGTGTTGCCAACTTGGTGACATTCTCACTAGATCATCTGACTTTTTCTTAGCGACTTGTTTCCGAAAAATTGACTCATGACAAATTAAGCGACTTATTGAGACCATCAAGGAAAAACAAGAAATATGTTATATGGTAACTCATTGCCATGCACACTGCTCAGAGTCATCACAGTCAATGGCTCTTCCACCATCAGCACAGCATCTCTCCCCCTCTCTCCTCTTGCACTGTGCAGTAGGTGTGGGACAGGCAATGGAGGAGGAGAGGTGGGAGTTCAGTTGTAGTGAGCTTCTGTAGGTACATTGATGCTCTCACTCTCTGGATTAAAAACGCAAGAAAGTACTGCATGCCATTCAACTATTATGTTGAGGATTTTTCAAATGAATCTAATTCAGCAATGCTTCAATTTTCTCTACATGTAAATGAATATGCAAGATGTCATCAATATGCAAATAAATGTATAGCATCATCTGGCAACTTCTTGGAGCTGGCGCTAGTGACTTGGCAAGAATGGCACTAACTGGTTTTTGGGGCCCCTTGGGTGCAGCAGAACACGCTCTAACAGCAAAATTGAAATCTTATCACTTTATAAAGTTGTTATGGAGAACTTGCAAACAAACAGTTGCCTATTTACACATCAAACAGAAACAGAGCATCATGTTTTATTTGGAGTCATGATTCTGGCCACCTGAGGAAAGTTAGCTAAATATTCAGTCTCCTTTTAGCTCTGTTTTGGTCTCCACCACTTTCTGGCTTTTTGGAGGCTAAATGCTATGTTCGACAGACAGAAATACTGATCCAAATCAATGAGCTGAAAGATACAAAAATGCTCTGTAGGGCTCTGAGAGGAACTCTAGAGCAGTGGTTCCCAACTGGTCCAACCACAGGGTCCTTGTCAACGACATACATGCCTTTGGCCATGTCGTCGAGCTAGTTTGCTGTCTCTGTCATGTATCTGTCTGTTAGTCACTCACTCTAAAGCAAGAAACAGCACTTCAAAATAGAAGCTCTGTGTTGGAAATTTACTGTACTTATAAATACAATGTGGCAGTTCCATCACTACAAGCAAATCCCTTTCACATTATACACCATTATTTGACCCACTGTTACTATAAAAACAGTGATGACGATGTTGATGATGAAGTGCAGACCCAGTGTAACATGATGGACCACAAATTAACTCTCCTACGTATTAAAAATCTATTTCACAAGCTAGGAATTGGTGACAAGTGATAGAAAACCCTCTTTCTGGCACAAGCTGTTGCAAATATAGTTCACTTATTAAGTCTTGATTTCTTGACCGGTGCTAAATTGAGATATTTCAGCGCTCGCCATCGTCCTTGTTAAAATTGACAGTCGCCCACAGTTAGTAGGTATGTTCTGCTATGCTCTCCTCCTAGCAGGCAACTAGCTGTCTCTTGCCAAAACTTCCCACACCGAGCTATATTTACCATCCGTGGTACCGAGGTGGAGAAAACGTGTGAGCAGCAGTGTCAGAGATGGCCTGTTTGTGCTCGGAAATAATCTCATATTGCCTCCTAAAAGTAGACAGTCACATTATTTGCACATGGACAGCTTCCTTGGCGGATCAAACTCCTTAAGTACCTCTCAGCCATCATACAGAGCGTCGTGATTAAAAGCAGGAGCCAGTATCGTGAACAACAGCTCATTTAAAAATAATAATTAGACTTCTGTGTGTTCTCTTTTTTTTTTCACTCTGCCACCCCTACATTTATCTGAGGCTCTCCGACAGCAGGAAGGCTAGTTGCTAGGTGATGGCCCTCGATGAGTGATTAGCAGGGGTCTAATGGGCTCGCAGCCGAGGGTTGGACCAGCCCAGTCTCACAGGGACTGTGCTCGTCTCCTCCGAGCTACAGTCTTTCTACCTGAGAGCCGTTATTTGTGTCTTTTCACTGCTCTACACTATAGCCAGCCAGCATCAAATCTGGTGCTATAATCATTATGAACATAACGTGATAATTCCTGATCCTGCACTTGTTATGCAAATTAAGGTCTTTAGCGCTGGCTGGAGGAAGCTGTAATAGGAAGGAATTAAGACTTAATGGTACAGTGTTGTACGACAGGACACTAGATCTGCCACAGCTGCATGATGACACAGTCTACTGAGCCTCTGAGGTGTCAATCAGCTTATACGTTGAGATAAATTATTTCATTTTGATCTGTAATGACAATGACTCAGTGGAAGTCAAGAGCTATTTGAATATTTAAGGCTCGAGTCCCAAATTACACGCAGTCTATTAATATTTGTGTGGAGGAGGTTTCGCACTATGTGTGGTGTGTGGAAAGAATGTTTTGATGCACATCATACATCACTGGTGTGTTGCTCTTAGGACAAGTGGAGCTCTCTTTATGACCTGGGAGGTTTAAATAGAGCGTGACAGTGTTATTTTCATGGTGCTTCAAGTAAGGCTCATAGTTTTCTGTGTTTGACTGCAATTCATTCAAAAGATACCTGGATTTTTTAAAGACGGATTTTAAAGGAATACTTCACCCCCCCAAATGATTATTTGTATATCAGTTACTCACCCTGTGTTACTTTGAATTTGTTAGGAAATCTTTGTTTTTGGATTCTTCGTTCGCCAGTGGCATGTGAGAAAAACAGAGAAAACTTTTGATGAATTAAAGACATATGGGTCCGTGGTTAACAACAGCAAAACCACTATCAAAACACCTGTTTGCAGTATAATTTAAGGCTTATTTATCCAGTCGTATGCTCAGTACTTCCCAAACAGACAGCTCTTCCCAATGGGGAACTGAACTAAAAGTGAATCTTATCTATGCTCTCTTCAAAGCAAGACTGAATTGACAAAAACAGTCATATTACCTCACTTTACAAACTCTTTAAACTGTGACTTTAATGTTTTAAATTGTTAGTTTCCCGTGTACAGTGTGTACAGTGAGGTACAATTACTGTTTTAGTCAAGTCTGGCTTTGAAGAGAGCATAGATAAGTTTCACTTTAATTTCAGTTCCCAGTTGGAAAGGGTTGTAACATTTGGGAAGTACTGAGCATACAACTGGATAAATGGGACTTGGATTATCCTGCATGAGTTGTGTGACAGTTTGCAAAGAGATGTTTTAACATAGTTTTGCTGTTACAAAACATGGATCCCCTTCAATTCATCAAGAAATGTCTCCATTTTTGGATTCTTCATTCACAGGAGGCATGTGATACAGAAATGGCCATTGGGGGGTTGCAGTGCTCCTTTAACACTCACTTTCCATGAGCTGTCAGTTATGCACATTAAGTCCCGTCAAATATTGAAGGTAAAGTGAAGAATGATATAAAATTAAATTACATTTCTGCATAACAAATTGTTTTGTATTGAAAAATGAGATTTTTGCATGTATTTGCTGAGTTTTTGTGATCAAAGTAATAAATCAGCCATAAACCCAAACAACAAGCACATTTTCCTTCATTATTTAAGCATTTATTAGGAGGAAACGAGCTACAAACTGAAGAGCATTTTTTAAAAAAAAGTTACCATCCCTTTCTGTCTTTGCTCATTCTGTACAACATCTTAAAAAAAGCCCTAAGGGAAATCTGGTTAATTATGCATGAAAGGTGTCAGGGAACCTAAATAAAACAAGCTGTAAGAAAGCAGTGGGCATGATCTACAAAATACATTGACAACATTGCTAATGCAATTTATGTGACAGTAATCTGTTCTGAAAGAATGCCCGCATGCATGAGCGGGGGTTGAAATTGCTACAGTTAAAAGGTAAATGAAGTCTGGAACAGGAAAGCAAGGCTAAGTGGGTCATTAATGCATAAAATATGTTGGCGAGGCCCATTAAGAGTTTGTGTCGGGCTAAGGAGAGAAAGGAAGCTGAAAGACATCCAAGACCAGGCTACCGAAGCTAAGTGTATCATTTATAGTCATGTTGGCAGGGATCGCATTAATAAATGTAGCTGCTGGGGATAAGTTACACTGCTAACTGCAGCCTGCCGGAGCCTGAATCAGCTATTTGCCTCAAGATTTTAGCAAACAAGACATGAGGAGGGACAGAGGGATAAACATACTGAAAGCACTGAGAGCACTGAGAGAGACACGGTCAGAGTTTGACAGATGATATCTGTACAAACACTTGTATCACCAGGACTTCAAGACTACAGTAGCTTGGCAAAATATTTAACGAGAGACATGAAAGCACACACACAGTTTGTTCTACATTCCTATTCAACAACTCAACTCAATTCAACAACTCTCCGACATTCATGCTGACACAGATATCAAAGCCTGCACAAACAGGGGTTTCACATCTTCACTATTGCATTGTTTTTAAAGATTTTTAATGTCTGAATAACTGTAATTCAAAAGCGAGGGTGGAAATCATATCATATCTCTTTCAAGAAAGACAAAGCTAACGCACTGAAGCAGAAAATGGTGGATGGTCTTAGTACACGGACCTGAAGCTGCTAAAATAGCAACTCGAATTCAGCCAGCCCAGTGCAAACTTCCCGCGGGATCAGCAAACCTTCTGTTGCTGCAGTTACAGAGATTAGACATATCCTGCTGTGAACCCTGGCGGCACCCGCAGAATTCAAGTTACTACAGCCGCTACTGAGCTTCCACCTACTTTCCTCCCAGTAAATAGTGTAGGAGCAGTGAGGAGTGAGGCAGAGGGACTGCAGGGTGGCTAGCTTCATAATTTTCATCTCATTTATGGTTGGATAAACTGAGAGTGAGAGAAACAATAGCTGATCTCAAACAGGCCAGTCAACTGATGGAGCAGCTGATTGATGGAAGAGAGTCAGCTGATAGATGATGATACATAAATACCTTTCTATACAACAAATTGGCGAATCTCATTCAGGGCGCCCTATTTAAACTGCTCTGGCCTGCCTGCTGTTGCTGCTTCCTCTGCAAGCTGCTTTGCAACCTGCCTCCACCCCAGCTCCTCCTTTTCATGCTGTGTCCTGGGGGGGGGGGGGGGTGTTGTTTCTTTGCTGCTGCTCTCCCTGCCTCAGGCTTTTCCTTGTAGGCACATGGAAGGGCAGAGAGGTTTACTCTCACTGCCTCAGGCTTTCCTGATTTGCATGTGGAAGGGCAGAGAGGTGTGCTCTCACTGCCTTAGGCTTTCCTGATTTGCATATGGAAGGGTGGAGAGGTGAGCTCTCTCTGCCTTAGGCTTTCCTGATTTGCACGCTGAAGGGCAGAGAGATGTGCTCTCTCTGCCTTTGGCTTTCCACATAGGCTTGTGGAAGAGGCTTTCTGCGTAGGCCCGAGGAAAGGCAGAGAGGCCCCAGAACAGGACCATACCGCCACATATAATACTGCAAATGGAAAAACAAAGTTTTCTTTGACTACAGTGTCCCTGACTGAAGTGTACTTCAAAGATATAGATATTTTTATTCATAAAAAATATCTGTATCTCTAAGTAAGTGAAGTGTATTTCGCATAGCACCTTTCACAGAGCAAGGTCACAAAGTGCTTAAGTGGAGTCAAATTGTTAAATAATAATACCATAAAAACAGTTTATTAGTTGCCACTTTTCTATGCAGTATATGATGCTGCTGAATGTTTTTGGAAATATGTCTCATGGTACACGCTGTCTAGAAGTGCATGATTGGCAAAAAATTGTAATTTTGAATACATATTAAATTGGCACCAAAGTATCGTGACTGTATTGAATCACTAAATAAGTGTATCATCCAAGCAAAAAAGGTTTACAGAAGTCAACTGAGGAAAAGAAAACGGTGGCTCTTTTTTCTCAGACAAAACACAGATCGGAACGAGAACAAAGAGAGTGGCAACCACAGGAAGAGAGAGCGGGAGAACCAGACATTAAATATGAATAGTAGGATGAATAGAAGAGGAAATTGTGTTGGGGAGGATGTCAAAAGACAGAATACAAGATGAGAGACATATGAGTGAAGGCAGTGGGTAGATGCATGGATAAAAAAAACTGAAAAAAGAACGAAATGAATGGCTGAAGGAGGAAAAAAAACAAGAAAAAGAGTGAGTCATACAACCTCTACAAATATAGGAAGCGATCAAAGACGACTGGTCGGGTTATGTGGCAGCAGAAATGCTCCTGTGACTTAACAAGGTGAACTGGTTTCATCTATGTTAGGAAACCTCATCGATATGGGTCCAGATAGTTTTCCCTTCAGCTATGTTCAAACCAAAAGGTGTCTGTCTGTCGAAATCCTGAGAGAGACACAACACTACCTACACTTTTTCACAGAAAGTTAAAACCCTGCTTACCTAACTGAAAGCGCCTGAATAGAGCCAAGGCTGTGCTTAATGTGTATCAGATCGAGGAAAAATATCTTTGAATGTGGTTTTGTTACATTCGAGGGAGAAGTGCTGGAATATGAAATCATTTTTGCTTTTATTTCACTAATCATACTTTACTTATTCAATAAAGACAATCACACTGTGCACTGTGTCTAAGTGTGTATTCAGGATGGGAAAAAAATAACGACCTTCAACATGACACAGGGGCAGACAAAATAACAAGAAAAGGTATTGTGTGAAAAAAGGTATTGTGTCTATTTGTCTTATTATGTTATAAAATGAATGGATTTTGGCTTTTTTTTTTTCCAACAAAAAACTATTAAAAAAAACACTAAAAGAAGATGTTTCTAATTTATTTTATTTCATTTTTTGTAAGTTGTGTTATTTTTATTTTTGTTATCATCATTATTATATCCTTCTTTCTTTTTTATTTGACATGACAAATCAAAAATGTGGGCACAGATATACACTCACAGGCCACTTTATTAAGGAAACACCTTGCTAGTACCAAATTAGACCCCTTTTTGCCTTCAGAACTGCCTTAATTCTTGGTGGCATAGGTTAAACAAGGTGCTGGAAACATTCCTCAGAGATGTTGGTCCATATTGACATGATAGCATCACACAGCTGCTGCAGATTTGTCGGCTGCACATCCATGATGCGAATCTCCCGTTCCACCTCATCCCAAAGGTGCTCTATTGGATTGAGATCTGGTGACTGTGGAGGCCACTGGAGTACAGTGAACTCATTGTCATGTTCAAGAAACCAGTTTGAGATGATTTGAGCTTTGTGACGTGGTGCGTTATCCTGCTGGAAGTAGCCATCAGAAGATGGGTACACTGTGGTCATAAAGGGATGGACACGGTCAGCAACAATACTCAGGTAGGCTGTGGTGTTTAAACCATGCTCAGTTGGTACCAAGGGGCCCAAAGTGTGCCAAGAAAATATCCCCCACACCATTACACCACCACCAGCAGCCTGAACCGTTGATACAAGGCAGGATGGATCCATGCTTTCATGTTGTTAGCTGACAGGAGTGGCACCTGGTGTGGTCTTCTGTTGCTATAGCCCATCTGCTTCAAGGTTGGATGTGTTGTTGGTTCAGAGATGGTCTCCTGCAGATCTTGGTTGTAAGCAGTGCTTATTTGAGTAACTGTTGCCTTTCTATCATCTTGAACCAGTCTGGCCATTCTCTTCTGACCTCTGGCATCAACAAGGCATTTTCACCCAGAGAACTGCTGCTCACTGGATATTTTCTCTTTTTAGGACCATCCTCTGTAAACTCTAGAGATGGTTGAGCGTGAAAATCCCAGTAGATGAGCAGTTTCTGAAACACTCAGACTGGCCCATCTGGCACCAACAACCATGCCATGTTCAAAGTCAATTAAATCACCTTTCTTCCCCATTCTGATGCTCAGTTTGAACTTCAGCAGGTCATCTTGACCATGTCTACATGCCTGAATGCATTGAGTTGCTGCCATATGATTAACTGATTAGGTATTTGCATTAACAAGCAGCTGAACAGGTGTACCTAATGAAGTGGCAGGTAAGTGTTTAAGTGCAAGATATTTATATAGTTACATATTCATACAGATGTATGATGTTGATGGAAAGAATCTAGAAATTCATCCTTTCTGATTATTTTCTGGTTATCTGTATTAAACTTTGTTATCTTTTATGTTTAAAAACGGAAAATGTAAATGAGACAGTAAAATGTTTGATGGATATTTGGTCGGTTATCTCAATAAAAAGAAATATAAAGAAAAAAATCATGAATTTCTGAAAGGAATTGGAGTGCCTTTCATTTCTGTTTTCTATCATTTATAAAGTAATAGTTGTTAGATGGAAAGAGAAGGGAGAAAAAAAAGAGATTAAACCAGTGGTACCTTGACTTCAATGACTCATCAAACCACAGTTGAAAGGACTGTGATTAACTCATACAGGAAAGACACACATTAAGGGTCGTTTCCTTGAACTCCTGAAGTAACACACTGTTTAACCGCTCATCTACCTGATGGAAAGGGTCCTTCCTCATGTTCCGGCTGGCTAGCGGCTCATCAAAGGGGAACACCACAGAGTAGTTTTTAGCATACGACTCGTGGCTCCTCTCTCTGATCCATTTTGCGTTGTCTGTCAGCGAATTATGGAAACGCCTGGGACGGGAGGCAGAGGAATTCAAAAGATTAACGCTCATTAAAAGTCACAAGCATTCAGACTTCATTAAAACTTCATTATTCTGGCTCCTGCTGCCCTTTTAATAAAATGCCAAATGGAAACTCAAAAAACATGATCTGCTTTGTAGAGCAGCACCATGCCTGGGAAACTTCCTGAGGTCAGTCGCTGCTCAAATACTTAGGCTTTTACACAGACTTTAACACTATTTGCACGGGACTAGTATTGCCTGGGGACCTCTGGTAATTTGTAATAATTGCTGAGGTCATCTGTGAGAGAGTGGAGTTACAAATGACTGTGTGTGACGTCGAATGTGCTGCACAAAACACAAACATGGCGGGGTAATTTCCAAATCACATGAGGTCCCATGGTAAAACTAGTCCTGTGTAAATAATGCTTTAGTGTGCTTTGATATACCTGATGTCGTATCCATACATGTCCTTTTCAGGGCGTCCGTGTATGACCCAGTGAGCCAGCTCTTTACCACATCCACCTCCCAACATCATGCCTGCAAAATACACAAATACAACACACAGAGAGGAAGAGATGATAACACGGAAACTGTTATGAACAGCATCTCATAATCACAGTCAGTTCCTTACAGAAAGCATGTTAACTACAGCTGAAACAGGTCATTAGTCAATTAGCAGGCTTAGACACCAAGAGATTAATTAACTCTGACCGATTTTGAAATCTGTTTGCATCACGCACAAAAGGAGAAACTTATTTCTGATCTCAAACACGCACACACTCCAACGATGGCACTTCATACAGGCTATAATTAAAGGGAAATTTCGGTTTATTTCAACCTGTCTCCTATCGTCCTAAATTTGTTTCAAGTGACTAGTGACAGAAAAATAATAGTTAGCATGTTAGCCGTTAGCCTAGATACAGCTGGGGCACATAGTAGCGCCAGACCTGTTAAAACGTAAAGCCTGATTTATGGTCCTGCGGCGTACCTACATCGTACCTACGTCGTTGCCGTGACAATGTCATGAACCCTTCGAACTTCTCCGTCACTCCATTTCGTCGCGGTGCAATTCACCGCCAGAGCGGTAGGAGGCTGCGTTCCTTTCCTGAATGGTTATCGTCGTCTCTAGTTGATTCTTTGTTTAGCTTCCGGCTTTTCCGGTCACAGAGAAATGAACGCGGAGCACGGACAGACGGCTCCGTCCGTATCCGTATCCGTATTGAACATTGAGCATAAATGGGCCTTAATACTGCAACATCTACATCACAAGAGAAGATGTTTAAAGATGGCGGGGATGGCGCAATCTGGAAATACGGAACCGGAAATGCGTTGCTACCAAGCAAACCAATCACAGCCCTCTCGGTCTGCGCTGGGTCTGCGTCGCCTCGACATGTAGTTACATTTTTGGGGAGGTGCACGTCAGGCTACGCCGGGGGCTATGGCAAGCCTTCTGCGTAGCCACGTGCCCTACGACGTAGCAACGTTGTTGATTTAACGCAGGACCATAAATCAGGCTTTAGTGAACGGGCATACCTTCAAGTGCAAAGTTAGTCCACTAAACAAGCTTTTTCTCCACAAAGACCGCCTCATATCGTTAGGATAAATGTCAGAGAACATATAGAAAACGACATGTAAACGTGTTGTCTTACCTTACCAGTGTGCTGCCATGTTTGTTTACCATCTAGCTCTGCTGTCCAAAGCGCGGCCAAAATATATCTCGTGAGCTCTAGATAAAGCACGTTATCGTTACTAATGTGTGACTGAGGTGTCTCGTCCTCGGTCACATCCAGACCTTGAAAACAAGGCTGCAACCGGTCCCATTCCTTGCAACAGAGGCATTCCTCTTCTGTGGGCATTGGGGCAGCATTCACAGGTAATGTTACACCACCAATCTCCAGAGCTACGCAGCCTTGCAGCAGCCATTCCTCCTCTCTCGTTCTCTACCTGTTGTGCCTCTCTCTCTCTCCCTCTCCTCCTCCGTTCTTCAATTTCACGAAGCTCTTCTGTTTACCATTTAGCTCTGCTTTCCAAAGCACAGCCGAATTATCGCGAGAACAAGCAGCGATCTCATACCGTGCCTGAAATCTCGTGAGAACCAGCAGCAACAGCTGGAAGGCAGAACCGGACAGTAGCCTGAAAAGTTCATTCATTTATTTTATGAAAGATTTATAGAATAATGGCTGACTTTTTGCCAGACTTCGACATTGTGGAGGAGGAATTTGATTTTGCAGAGTTTGATGGCCGCCCTTATTTATTTGAGCCAGAATACACTGACGAAGAGCTTCGTGAAATTGAAGAACGGAGGAGGAGAGAGAGAGAGGCGCAACAGGTAGAGGACGAGAGAGGAGGAATGGCTGCTGCAAGGCTGCGTAGCTCTGGAGATTGGTGGTGTACCTGTGAATGCTGTGCCCCAGTGCCCACAGAAGAGGAATGCCTCTGTTGCAAGGAATGGGACCGGTTGCAGCCTTATTTTCAAGGTCTGGATGTGACCGAGGACGAGACACCTCCACCTGGAGTAACGTTAGGTTCCAGCTGGGCTTTATCTAGAGCTAGCGAGATATATTTCAACCGCGCTTTGGAAAGCAGAGCTAACATGGCAGCACACCGGTAAGGTAAGACAACACGTTTACATGTCGTTTTCTATATGTTCTCTGACATTTATCCTAACGATATGAGGCGGTCTTTGTGGAAAAAAAGCTTGTTTAGTGGACTAACTTTGCTCTTGAAGGTATGCACGTTAACTTACGTTTAAACAGGTCTGACGCTACTATGCGCCTCGGCTGTATCTAGGGTAACAGCTAACATGCTAACTATTATTTTTATGTTACCAGTCACTTGAAACAAATTTAGGACAATAGGAGACGGGGTTGAAATAAACCGAAATTTCCCTTTAAGATAATCATGCAAGAAGAAGCATGAATGTACCACCTCACATGATCTTATGGGGAAGCAGATGTAAACAAAATGGAGACTGATGTAGTGCAACAGATTTCAGTAACCTTCATAATTCTTTACATTAAGAAAAAAATAAAGAAGAAGGCTATACAAGTCTGGGTCAGAAAATGGTTGGGGAGTGCTGTCAACAGTGGTTGGCTATTCTTCAGCAAGAGCTGTAGGTGAGATTATAAATGTTAGTTTGAATGACTGCCATCAGTCATATGCTAGCTAGCATTACCTTCAGGTGCTCTAGTCTGTACTGACGCAATCATCACCACAATCATGCAGATAATAAATCCTTAAAGGGACATTGTGTAACATTTTCAGTTGTTTATTGGCAAAAATTGATGTCTGTATTCATAAATATGTCATCACTGGTATACTATTACCTCCACCAATAATCTGACTTATTCTCGTAAAAGGAAAATTTCGTATTTGTTTGTACATTGTGCAGGTAAGTCGTCTGTGGGGTTCCATTACGTTTCGCCATCTTGAGAATACACCCGCCAGCAAGGGACATACAGCACCGCCTTCAGCGTTTTCGTTGAGAACCAGGCCAGCACTGCGTGACTGAGGAGCCGAAGGAGAGGAGCAAGAGGCGCTTCGCTACTACCCTGGCAAATTTGAAACAAAGTCCCACTCTTTGAGCATAATGCAGGATCATGCATATGCAGCATCATGGGACGGAATCCTCGTCGCCAAGAAAGCGCAAAAGGGAATAGAAAAGGCAGCGTGACTGGCGAATTAAAAAAACGAAGGCCCACATCGGGGTAGCCTTTCCCAGGTAGAGAGAGCTGCTGAGGGAGAATGGTAATGCAATCACAGGCCAGCGCCGCTGTTGGCTGTTAGTCGCTAACAGCCTCATCCCTCTCCTCGCATCACTGCGCTGCTGTTAGCTGTTAGCCGCTGTTAGCCGCTGTTAGCCCTGGCCTGTGATTGTATTACCTTTCTCCTTCAGCAGTTCTCTCCACCTGGGAAAGGCAACCCCAATGCTGACCCTTGTTTTTTTAATTCGCCGGTCACGCTGCCTTTTTGATTCCTTTTTGCACTTTCTTGGCGACGAGGATTCCGTCTCCCGTGATGCTGCATAATACATGATCCTGCATTATGCTCAAAGAGTGGGACTTTGTTATGCGGCAGTAGTGCCGCTGGCCAATAACAGCTGTTAGCAGCGCAGTAATGCGAGGAGAGGCATGAGTTGTGTGAGGTTGAGCCACTTGTCAGTTGTCAAAGGACAAGACGTGATTGGTTTGTTTCAATTTACATCCGCCCCAACAATCCTACGTTGTAAACACAGCCAGCATGGTGAGGAGGGGGTTTGTCAACGCGCGTCACGTGTGTCTGTGTAGGAACCTGAATGAATACTCCATGTAGTATCGGATGACATGGTTTCATCAGTGTTATCATAGCTGTTTGGTACACAGCAGCTACAGTTGTTGCAATACGTGTTTGAAGCAGTGAGGCGCTAGAGTGCGCCATCTGTTTGAATACAATATATGATTTCAACATTAGATGGGAGAAATTCCTACACACTGTGGCTTTAACATCAAACACATTTGAAATTATCAGGGCGACACCGATGAGTCTGTGAGCAGTTCAGGAGGTTTAGGACTGGATCTGTAAACCTCTCACGTTGTCAGATAATCTGGGCCGATCATCAGCACGGACTAAGCCGGATTTCTCTCTAATTGATAGGAGGGGTGAATCGGGGATACACTGGCCCAAAACTCCTGGGGTCTGAGCACAGCTTTGATCAAGTTTAAAGGTACACTTGGAAGGGTTTCCCCCCAAAACGATGTATAGACATCACTTATCAGTCATCACTTATGATGCACTAGAAATGTGTGATGGTGTATTTTTCTGCAGATATCCCACCCTCTGCCTTTATTTTCGTATTTTCTTCTTAAGTTTGATTTAGGTTCAGTAAGTTTCTGAGCATAGCGGCAGGTGAGGTCAAGACTTCATAAAACCAGTGGGACCAGGAGTCTCATTTTTAAGTCCATACAAAAAAATGGTTAACACTTTACTTGAAGGTATCAACATAAGAGTGACATGACACTGTCATGAACTTGTCATAAACATTATGTACATGTCGTAAATGTTTATGACTGCTGTCATTAAGTGTCATTTGGTTTTTGTAATGACAAGTTGACATTGTTTGGGTTGTCTTGATTATGACAACTTGACATTAATTTTGTTTGGGATGTCCTTATAATGACAACTTGACATTAACCAGGATGACATTACCAGAAGATGTCTTTGTCATAACAATAATAATCATTATGTCAACTTGTCATAAACACAAAAAATGTTCATGACAGTGTCATGTCATAGTTATGACAGTTTCATGTTACTCTTATGTCGATACCTTCAAGTAAAGTGTTACCCATTTTTTTGGACTTTTCTAAATGAGACTCCTGGTCCCACTGGTTTTATAAAGTCTCAACCTCACCTGCCACTATGCCCAGAAACTTACTGAACCTAAATCAAACTTAAGAAGAAAATACGAAAATAAAGGCAGAGGGTGGGATATCTGCAGAAAAATGCACCATCACACATTTCTAGTGTGTCATAAGTGATGAGTGAGAGGGATTATGCCT